TTGTAATAAAGTTACTGAATAATACATCGTTTTTTTTTTTTTAAGAACATTTAAAGGGAAAAGATTGCTATTAACGATTCACTGAATTCATTGTGCCAATGTATGAGATCACCCACCGTACATTTTATTTTGAAGGTATTCTTCAAAATGCAATGTCGTTCTATCGGATATCAAAAATATGTTAAACTTATATATTGAAACCTAGATATTTAGCGAGATCGATCGTATAAATTTCATGTTTGAGGAATATAAAATTACTTCGTTTCGAAATTTGCCTAAAAGGAATGAACGCGACGGTACCAGAAAACGATTCAACTTGTAGATGCATCAATGCAAAATCGTACGCTCACTGGAAACTATTATCGGGAATCGCAGTGAATCGTTTTCTATAGCAAATCAAATCCATTTTATTCGACGACGACCGATTTTTATATGACGACAACGATGACGACGACAACAACGACGACCAGAACTATAAAAGCGATCAATTATTTAACTTTAAATCATATTAGGAAAAACGATTTTTCACCTAATGACAAAGAGATTTTGATTTCCATATTTGAGATTTAATAGGAGGATGAGTGATGGATGCTTTAAAAGCAGGAAAAATCACAGTCTTCTTCTCTCACGATGAACAGTGACGTTCATCAAATTTTTTCGAGCGGATATTTTCTAACACGTGACGGTCAAATTTATGATCTAAAAAAAATCAATATAAAAGAAAACGAGTCGATTTTTCGAATTTTATCATACCATTGAACTTTCTCTTTTTCTCATTATTTTTTTCTTTTTAAACTTGAAACAAATGAAAAATTCAACGACATATTGCATAAAATAAAAAACGACCATATTTATCGACAAGGAAGAGCTTCTTTAGTTTAATACAAGCTAAGTGAAAATATATATCCCAATATATATGTATATATGTATTTGTGATAGAACCTGTTGCGATCGAATCATGAAAATTAATATGCCGAAGAAAGTGAAAGACAAAAAATGAAAGAAAGTCTAATTTATCGATAGAAAATTTCATCGAGCAAAATATTTCGGACAAATTTTAGATTTCTAATTATGCGAAGAAACAGCGAAGTATAGCAAAAACAAAACAAGGTCGTATGTTTAATGACCACCCTAAGCATATATAAGCATATATACCTTAAAAGAAACATTCGTTGAGATCGATCGAAATGCACGCACGAAGGTCGTTTTTCTCAGGCAATGCTCTGCCCTAATTACAATGCTTTTCCCCTTGAGAAGATGCATGAAAGTTTTAGAATTAGCGTTTCACGTAGACTCGCGAGAGATCTAACAATAAGTAGTATATTAAATGAAATTGGCGTCTATCCGTTGAAAAAAAAATTCGATATTCCGTTAGAAAATTATCGATTTTTTAGACAAATTTTATTAATAAATCAACAAACCTTTCCATTTAAATTTTACATTCTATATTATTTTGCGATTACATTCACATAGTAATCAGAAAATCGAATTATAATAAATCTGAAAGCATCAAAGAGAAACTCATGGCCGAATAAATAACCCGTTTTATTTCTAGTCCAGAAAAAACATAGTTTTGCGTTGAACCTCTATTAGTACTAAATCTACACCAATACAATGTCACGACGATGATCGTAAAGTTAGATAACGACTACATCCACAAGGATTCTGTGGTAGCCTTGGAAAGGATCGTTCTTTCCTTCATTCCCATTTATAACCTGTATTACTTGCACCCCTTAGGATTAAATTTTATTCGCTGCAAAAAGGGTATGGCTTACGTGACGAACATTACGAGCAAGTCGACGGCATTAGAAAGTCTATAAAGGAGAAGGAATTTTTGTTTTAACTTCAACGAGAAAAAGGAAAAAAGAATAAAAAAATATCCAAATAAAAGAGAAAAATATTTACCCACGTAATATCAAAAATAGAAACGCTTAATTAATTTTGTAATATGTAATAAAAAGATTTAAGATCATCGTTCGATCACTTTGATAAACAAGAAAAAAATAATATGTTTAACAAAAATAAATACATTCTTTTCTTTTTTTTTTTTTGTTTTCTTCTTTATTATGAATATGAAAATGACGCGTTCAAAAGGATAAAGAAAATCTCGAGAGAAGAGAGAAAATGTCGTGTGCATTTGCATGTTTACTGTACCCACTGCAGTAGTTGCGGCGGCTTGAAGCTGATGTCGAGACGATACATAGCCTCGCAGCTGAGTTTGACGGTTTTCAGCTGTCGAAATCTTGCGGAAGTCTCCATTTTACAATAAACTGGGCCCGCCGCTGGTTCTCTTCTGAGGGACAAGGTCACTCGAAAATGTCCATCAGCCCCCATTTAGCCCCATAATCGTGCGCGTGAGCGCGGTTCACTTGGTATCGCGCGTAATCGAGGAACTTATATTCGAAAAAATACAATAAAAAGATGAACAAATGTTTCAAAAAGATTTACTTCGTTTCTTGTATCCCTTTATTTTCCATATTTTTTCATTTCTTCTCTTCAAAAAAAGAACGAAGAGAAATGTCCGCAATGTATCGAACGTTCACTATGTGAAAACTTTGACCGATTAGTGCACGCTTTTACCAACTTCACCGGCGGGCGTCGCGACGCTCACTGATCCCGCGTCGTCGTCGTGAACTCGTAACTCGGCACCACCATCGGAATTTTCTCTCTGTAATCCTTCCCGGCTCTGATCAAAAGAATCACACAATGACGCTTTTTCAAGATTACTTTTGGATACTTGGAGATCCTCTGGTTACATAGTTATTCAATCCTGGAGAAATTTCCCAAGAGAATGAGTATTATACATAAATATTTGATCCTGAACTTGATCGTTTGCGAAATCAATTTTTAAGTAGCAAGCGAATTTAGACAAGATATGCATACATATTATACATATTATATATATGTTTATCGTTCTACATGATATTTTATAAGACAGATGTATCGATCTACTATGTTTACCAATATCAATGTCATTTTTTTTTCGAATAACCAACAAAAAATTGTCTGTATCCCTAATAAACAACGATGAATGGTCAGGTTAACTTATTGCAAGTAACTTACTGCAAAATTATTCTGTTGGGACTAGAAAATGCGCCAAGTAAACGAGCTTCTTTTAAAATTACTTTATTTTATAATAATATAACTGATATTGATCCTGGTACATGTTCTCATGTTTGCGATGAAATTTTTGAGATACCTACTGAATTTTTAAAAAATAGACGAGTATAATTAGAGTAAATAAACAATTTTTTAATCGTATCCCTTCTTTCGACCGATTATCAGACTCTTACAAAATCTTCTTATATATACATATTAAAAATTAAATATTCATCGTTCAGTTTTGTTTCATTTGGCTCGTGTTAGATATTATGAAAGATTCAAAGAACCAAACACCGATTCTGTTTTATTTTGAAGGGATAAGAAAACTTGTATAGTAACCAAATGCTTCCTAATGTTGAACGCTATTCCGGACAAACGATAATTGTCGAACTCATAAAGGAAACATAGAAGCCTCATGAAAACATTTGGCAAGTGCGTATACACAGCTTTATTTGCGTTTCCTATCATTTTGATAGCACTAACTCGTGCGAGAACGATCGACGAGATCGTTCCAGAATGATTTATCGTACGATAAAGTATCGAGAAAGGAATTTCGGTGCCTTGGAATTGATACTTACAACAACAAAATTATTTATTAATAAAAAAAATATTATTTGCTAACGCAAAATAATTTCTTTCGATAAATATATTTTTTTCTTACATCATTTTTCGTTTTTTTAACAATAGCACAATAACGTCAGAAATAAAATTTTCTATACACTGCTCGTGCGATTATCTAAATTTACATATTATATTAAAATTAAAAAACAAGTTAAATCTTTTCCATTGAAAAATCTTTTTTTAGTTCAATACAACTATTTTTTTCGTTTCTCCTATTGCGAATGGAAAACAATTGCAAGTCAATAATTTTCTCTGATAATAATGAGATGTATGGTACCGTTATGATCGTTTCCGAGCGATTCATTATATTTTCACGGGAAAAACCAATTTGCCATTTTACATAGTTGGATCAGCGATCCTTATAAAGATTCACTGAAGAGTTTAAAATAAAGATATATAGAACTCTTCTGGATGTTTAGAAAATAAAATTACAAATAAATGCGTCATTATATTTCTTGTTTGACAAGGATATTATGTACATCGACAAAAATTTAATTGTTTTATAAATAAATAATAAACTTCATACAAAAAAACAGGTAGAATGTAGTATTTCATTTAGATTCTATTTCTTTGAAAGTGACCATCATCACGGCAATTCATTCAGTTTGTTATGGAAAAAACAATAAGCGTTCTAGATAAGTGGTAATAGGGCAAAAAATGATCGTCCTTGGCTAACAATGGACAATATTTCTTCACGCGATAACACTGCGTTATTAATGAGTTCAGAAATGGACAGGTATGCGTCTATTCGATAAAAGCAACTCACCTAGTTAGTTGGTGTTTCTTTAATACACAAGCTCGGGTGTAACATATCGTTCTATTATTTATCAACTGCTTCAATATGTTTATTTAATTTTCTAAAATTATACATTGATCTGTATGTGTAATATCACATTATAAGAATTATCAAAACTTATCACTTATCATTATATTATCCTGTCTTAAATTGTCTTGTTCAAAATTTTTCCTGTCTACGGAAATACAGACTACAATAAAATACAATAAGTTAATAACGTTACAACAATGACTATGAAATAAGCATAAAATGATCGTAAATTCATATATACCTGTACAAACCTACTAATAGAACCGCAACATGACTTGCAGGGCTTCTAAAGAGTTTGACAGCTTTTAAATCGAGTTTCACGAGCATAAATCGAAGGAAAAAGAACTTATGGTCGTACACTGTGGTCGAGAAGAATTATTTCAAACTGTAGTCTGTCAAATTGATGAGGAAAACAGTCTATTGATATAAATAAAAATAACATATTTATATCATGTTTTCGATTAAAAGTATATTACAAAAACAGTTAGACATTTATTTATAAATAATTAGAAGATTTTTAAAAATATATTCATTTGTGAGTATAATTAATGAATATGAAGATACGGTCATGAAACAAATCTCTATATAATCATATCACAGTATTCATAGGAAACAACCTGTAAACCATTCGAATATCTTTTCCTTTCTCCCTCTCCCTCCCATTCTCTTTCTCTCCTCTCTCTCTCTCTTTCCCCCCTCTCTCGGTCTGTACGTGTTAAAAATGTATTACAGTTATATATATATAAATCTTTACACTTTAAAATTATATAAATACATGTAATATATATTGTGTGTATACATCAAGTTCTTATAGATTTTATATAGAGAAAAAAATATTTTTAATTAATAATCATAAACTTCCTGATAAATACTTTTCATCTGATTTAACAATGCATTCAGATAATGCCTGACCAACTTTTATGGTCTGTCCTACATTTAGACAAAATTGAAAGTCTTCTGGTGCCTCAAATAGAAGTACAATGGTAGATCCCATTCTGAATTCACCAAATAATTGTCCTTTAGATATATGAGTACACTCTAACTTCGCATCTTCCCAACGTTTCATTTTCGGCCATATAATTTTATTTGTAGTTAATTCTTTATCACAATAGATTTTAATAGAACCAACATTAGTGGCACCTACTGCGGCATAAGCCATGAAACCTTCCGCCCATTTTCCAATGTATACCACACGCTCATTTAGCGAAAATAAATCTGGTAAAAATCTAGCTATCTTTGGATTGACACTTAATAGTTTACCTGTACAAATTTTTTAATTAATTATGTATGTGGCATTCTTCAGTAAAGTTTTTAACATAAATAATAAACCAGTACCTTGAAAGTGTCTTCGAAATTCAATCTCCCAGTCAGTTGGACTATGAAAACGATGATAATCGCCTGGTGCTAAGTAAACTGTTATTTGATATAATTGATTCGCCGGATTTTTCAAAAGACTCTTCACATATTTTTTATTATCTTCTTCCGTATAACTTATTTTCTCTTTAGATTCCTCTAAATCTATATCTCCCAAAAAATGCCTAAGATCATAAGTCATCCCTTTAACTTGTTCCACACGGCAAGATGTTACTGGTCCAAAATGAAGGACTGTACCATCTGAAGGAGAAACCTATATCAAATATATTTGAACTATTATATAATAGAAAGTAAAAAATATGTATACATGGAAAAGTTCTAATGACAAAATAATAATAAAATATTATAAATAATTACCATATTTGTATTCTTAGCTATAGGTCTTGTTTCTTCCTTGAGTGGTCTTACAAAAAAATCTACTAAAGTTGGAAATCCTGACAAATCACCTGCTACTTCTTCCAAATCTGCATTAAAAATTTTTGCATAGAATTGATATACACCTGGTCTTAAACTAACAGGTACTTCTCTATTAGCTATCCAACCCCATATCCTACTTGTTATTCTCAATGGAAGGCAACAATAGCAATTTACCTTTGTACAAAATAAATATTAACTTTTATAAATACAACTTTTAATTAAATAAAATATAAATATATTGTAAATTCGTACTATAAAATCATTAAGTGGTCCTTGTATTACTTCACCCTGTGCAGTATGTTTGTATTTCCTAAAATGTCTCCACTGGAAAAAAGCAATCAATGAAACACCTATTCCTATAGGGACAACTAATTTCAATTTTCTCATGACAGAAATCTTTGAGCCTATTGATGTTTGATTTGAAGTTGCATGTGATATATTTCTATTTAACATCCTTTGTCCTCCCATAAACTGCATTACATATTTTGAATACTGCATGATGTCTCGATCGTACTCTTTTCTAAAATAAAATTAAGAATAACACTTTCAATGTCTTTAACTAAATAATAAAGAATTTTTTTTCATAACCTCTAGATACGTACCTCCCATGTTGAAGCAATCGCAAGTACGGAGACTTCCTCCAGCTTGCCACCAGACGTCGCATATTCAAATTAAGAGCATATATTTCTGATTGATGCTCTCAGAAATCAGTATCCTGATATATAGAAGCTCTAATCGCCTATATCGAATCCTGGCGCAATTCAGCCGGCTTTGTATGATAAAAAATACAAAAACGCACTATATTCTTTAACCGAAGAATGAAATTGATTATCTATTCTCACACATATCCGTTTTTGAATTCAGCAAAGAAAAAGAAGTAAAAGAATATCATAAATTCTGAATGAGAACATCCGACACGCAACGCTAGAACACACATCCACTAAAGAAGGTCCGGTGCCGCATCACTATGGATACGACTGCGTCTGCGTGTGTAACTTAACGCGCGAATCCCGTTGAGCATGCTTTGTCCTCTTATTTCCCTCTCTCTCGAACAGCATAATGACGAAAGCATGAGAGAGATAAGAGGAAGGCAGATTGTACCTGCGCGCCGGTCCATGGCAACGTTGAGACATCAGGAGCGTGCCAAAGCAGCTGATGTTGGCACGAGAAGGCAGTAATATAACAGGTGGCTCCGCGGCGCGGCAGGTGGATAAATTTCTTCCTCTTTTTCGTTCGGTCCAACAACGACCAATGTCCATTGTTTTCTGACGTGTGCTACCTGCACGCACGAGCTTGAACGTGAACGCACATATACATGTATAGAAGGAAAGGGATGATACAAATACACACGCATACATACATAAACGTCAGGTAGCACAGAGCAGCAGTATCCCCACTAGCAGCAACAGTGCCATTAGCAAGCACCAGTTTCAGCAAGACATCAGCACGGTCGAACGAGCACATCGTTGGTCCATTGGCGGCGCAGGTTGTTCGACATCGAAAAATGACACGTTCGAGTGCGAAGTACCAAGGCTCCTTGTTGCGGTAAAAATTCATCACTGTGCAGTGCGATAGGACGCGATCCACTGTACTCGTGTCGCGTTTTATCGTGCTTTCTTAGCTGGCTTTGTCTACTCCGCGAGGTTATAATAATATTCTCTAAGGTGGTTTTTACGCGCGCATGAAGGGCCGCGGATGCGGGAGAATAAAGAGTGAGACAATGCCGCCGTCGTCGCATACGAACTGGACGAAACCGTTGCTGAAGGGCGGCCAAATGATGCAGATGCAGGTAAAACGAGTTACTGGAAACGGACAGAATCAAAATTCGAACGGGAACAGCAACGATAGCAATGGCATCCCGCACGATCGGAGAATCAAGGTGGTCCTGGTGGGCGACGGTGCTGTCGGAAAAACTAGCTTAGTCGTCTCCTACTCGACGAATGGATTTCCTGGCGAATACGTACCCACCGCTTTTGATAATTACAAAGGTGCGCTATAGGACAGGGAAAAAAGAGAAAGATCTCTCAATCTGATCTATTTGGTAACTTCTCTCCTCATTTTTCCTCATTTCTTTTCTCTTTTATTTATTCGTTTTTCCACAAATTTTTAAAAAGTTCGACTCACGTAACATTGCTGAAGTGGAATGTGAGAGAAAACGCGGGCTAGATTTAATTTGAATATTTTCAGATCTCTACGCATCGATAATTATAGAGATCGACGTCTCGATACTTTTAATGATACGCTCTTGAACACGCTTATCTTTGTTACGATAAATACGATAAATAGTGTTAAGAGATAGTTCGATAAATTTGTAATAATCTTGAGTTTAAAAACTTGGTGTATAGTGTGATAATAAATCAATGATTGTTCATCGTTATGACTGTTAGAATAAATTTCTCTTCTGTGTTAGAATGTTTGAATTGGATTTTTTTTGCTAGCGTTACTATTCCATTTCTAATATTCTATTTTTCCGTGATTGAATTTTTATTTATAAAAATGTTTAATATTATAAATTTTTGTGCAATTGCAACTTTTTGCATTGTCTTTACAGTATTAATATTCTTATTAAAAATTATTTTAAGTATAAATAGAAATTTTACCAGAAGGAAGAAATACGACAATTATTAATAATTTTAACATGATATATATTGTCCAAAAATAGTAATATTGTATAAACATTTTTTTCTTATTTACAGTTGTGGTTAATGTTGATGGACAACCTGTAAATGTTCAACTTTGTGACACTGCCGGACAAGATGACTTTGATCCTTTGAGATCACTCTGCTATCCAGAAACAGATGTATTTTTAGTATGCTTTAGTGTTGTATGTCCATCTTCCTACCATAGTGTCGCATCATGGTGGATCAACGAAGTTCGAAAATACTGCCCAAATGCTCCAATAATTTTAGTAAGTAATATTAAAGTATTAATTATAACAAAAAGTAAGATTAGATACATTAATGATTTTTTGCTTTTTAGGTAGGAACAAAAAGTGACCTAAGATCGGATGTTCGTCTGATGCTACAATTAGCAAGATATGGTCAAGCACCAATCACAACAGCTCAAGGTCATCAGTTAGCTCAAAGATTAGGTGCAGTAAGTTATGTGGAAACATCTGCGTTAACTCACCATGACTTAAAGGAGGCTTTTGATCAAGCGATCGTTAGTGCTCTCAATGCAAGACGCGGAGGTATCGGCTTAATATGCAGACGCCGAAAACCTCCATCGTTATGGCGTAGATGGTTATGTTGTTTAGAAAGACCACAGTCAAACGATGCGTAGATTTTATTCTTAAGACTCTCTAGAATGACTCTGTGATCATAAGCATAAGCTGCCTTGCTGTAGGAACTATCATGCATGGATTTAATGGTATTGTTACAAACTTCTTACAGTTTGTAATTTGACTGTTAAGACCATAAGTGATTGTGCTGGAATAATTCCTCAAGCCCGTTGCGGCATAATTTATTATAATATTAATTCTATTTTTGTTGCTAGAATATAATTGGCAGCTCGCTGGTTGTGATTTTATATCTGTAATTCTTGGACATTATTTTAATTACTTATAAGATTCGTTGCACTCAAACTGTTATGATCATTGAATTGTTTATATCGTATCACATAAGATAAAAATTGAAGATTAGCATTACTCTCATTTTATTTATAATTATTTGAAAGACTTTTAATATAATGTTATTACGAAAGAACTGTCATTTTCATTATATTGAAGTAACTTTAAAGCATCACAAAAAAGAAATCAAAAAATATTATATTTAAAACTTAAATATTATTAGACAAATATCAGTCTATGCATAAAAAATCACATTTTTTAGTACACACTATATACATCAATTATTCATAATGAAAATTTTTTGCATGAATCATATTTATATTGAATCATATATAAGAGTCAACCATGATGATCATTATTGGTTAGAATGTCATAAAAAACATACTATTAATGATATTCGAAGTTATTATTTTCAATAATAACGATGTGAAAACCTTAGGAATTGCTGTAATTCTGGAAATTACAATTTTGCTAAGACATATAGTAAATTCAGCAAACAGACTAAACCAAAAGTGTGATCGATATATTTTGTATCCAGTTCAACTATAGCATGTGTTATTCGTGTTATAGGCAATGTATGTTAATATTTAGTAGACAGGTATTGATAACAGAAAATCCTATAAAATAAATTATAGTATTACGAATTTTTACACGATATAGTTACGCTTGTGTTAAATCCTCATAGATAGAGGAAAAGGTAGACAAATATTTGGCCAATTCTTGTAAGAGTGCCTCAAAATACCTTACTTGCACATAGGAATTAATGTTTCACACAATTTTATAAACTTTTTTTACATAAATTTTAATCCGATTTAAGTAAGACTAAAAACCATTTCTTATTTGTTTTATAAATATTCGTCACATGCATGCAACATTAGGCTCACATTCTGTCTGTGATTATACATAAAAAAAAATCTGCAGACCTATATCTACGTAATATGTACAAAATATTGGTCATATTTGCAATATAGCTGGGAGACTATGTAATAATAGCTTTTAAATGATATTGATCATATACTGTATGAAGACTTTAACAGAATGCTTTAAGAAGTCTTGTTTGTCTACTGAAGTTATCATCAGTATTTCTATAATACTCGATGAACTTAATAATTATGCAATAAATCAACTGATTTAGTATTTGTGCTCATGGGTCCTATTATTCTTTGCTCATTTGATATAGAAGATTAGTATTCTGAACTACTAAACCATATGCATGTATTAAACGTTCTTGATTGTACTTTATATTATTATAAAAAAAGAGTTACACATATAGTTACAAAATTATAATAGATATATACATATGTGTAATTGGTGTTTATTAACAATAATTGTTTTTTTATTTGCATTAATATTTGCAAAGAATCAAAATAGGAGCAGTAAGAGAAATTTGGTATGTATGCGGTAGCTACATTGTTTTTAAGCATCACAATATACATCACATTCATAGTAATAACAAACACCATGTATGAATACGATAAATGCATAGCATATATTTGGACATGATGAGACATGATGATCTTTTATTATTGTTTAATAGTTGGATTTTTCATGAACAGTTTACGGATGTGAGACAATTTCCAGCTATGTTAATATTAAATTATTAACTAATTCGTTATCAATGAAGATTTTTTAATTACTTATTTGGAAGCTTATTATTGATCAGAATACTTTTATTATTTAAAAATTTTTTGAACAATTAAAGACTTATTTGATAAATGTTTATATTTCAGATGTAATTTTTGTATATTTTCATATTTATAAATGATATATCCTGATTACAATGATTGATGCATATACTTTTTAAACATTTTTACAAGTAGAAGTTCAAACTTTTACAAGAAATATAAGTATACAATTTTCGTATGTTAATTGTATAATATTCATATTTGATATAGACATAATTACAATATGTTGCTGTTATAATTTTTATAGTATTGCTCATTTATTACAAATTTTCACTGTAAATAGTACCATACTTAAATGTCATAATTAATGCAGGTCATATGTGTATCATATTTAACAAATAGTGCAAGTGTAACAAAGAATATTAGACTGAAGAGCCTACATATATTATAATTAATAATATTAAGTGCTTATATCCTGTAATAAAGTAAATAATATTTTTGTACATATCATTTTACACTTTTTTACATTACCTTTTCAAACAAATAGTATAATATCTATAAATTAATGTAGCATACATGCATAATCGCACGCATATATTATTTATATTTTTTATTGTATTGAATAAAAAATTTTTAATCTATTGTAATTTAATTAGTTAAATTCGGTACAAAATTTTTGCAGAAATATCAAATGAATACAAGAATTCAATATAATCAAGTTAAATCAAGTTGAATTAGATAGAAATTATCATGTAAAAAAATATCGAATACTCGTCTACATGATTGGTGATAATGTGAGCGTAGGAGGACATCTTGAAGTTGTTCTGCCAATAGGTTGGATTCAAGAGTATAAGAAAAAATTCTGATTAAGTACATAATAAAAAAGGAAGAAATAGAGATTTATCTAGAAGAAAATTGTGAAGTAAATATGAAGACAGACATTAATGATCCGTGGTCTAGAACAGATACAGAGATCTTGGAAGATACTGGAGGTGATAATCGTTTCGAGGATTCTTTTGTAGAAAAATCCGTATATGAACACGAAAAATTATCGGATTCGGAACAATATTTACAAAAATTGTGTAAGTAATTATATAATAATTAAAATGCGCTTTAAAAGGCGATATGTTTTTATCAAGTTCTTTTGCTGTGGATATTTATGATTATTAATTTCTTTTTTATTATATTTTTTATATTATTTATTATCATTAATTATTTATAAGGTTAATAATTTTTATTAAAAGTTCTCATTTATATAATATACTTTTATTAAAGATTCAAGGTTGAAGACTCTTCAAAAAAATACCACAAAAAAAGATCTTGTAAGCTCTTTATCAGTAGCAAAAGAGGAGTGTATCGCGCGTTTGATAACTTCAGAATATACTTTTAAATCAGAAGAAGAAGCCGTATTAGGTACAAATCCTTTAATACGTCATATAGTTCCTCATTTACAGGTGAGTTAGGTAGATACATACGGTGAGGCATTAACTTCATCTATCTAAATTATTTCTATTATTTTCAATATTATCACAAAATTTTATATACGAAAGTTGTATAATATAAAGGGGGATATAATTTGTTTTTTTTCTACGTAAAGGCATAGGTGACTACAAAATTATTTTTATTCTTTCAAATGAAATGATATGTTTTTGTTACCAAAGTATGATAGCATAAGATATAATTGTATTATGTCTCTATTCTTATCATACAACTTTTGTATACATTTTGTGATTTTATTAAAAATAATGAAAATAATTCAGGTAGACTAAGTTAATGTCCTAAACTATATGTTGTATAAAATATTTATTATTTATTAATGCTTCATAACAATAAAAATTAAATAGCAATTATATTGATATTTTAGGCATTGACAGCAAGTGAACTTATTCATCTTCTGAAAGCTGACGTACTTCAAGTAGTTACAGAAACTATTGAAGAACAAGAATTAAACAATAAAAATAAATAAATATATATATCTGCTTTAAAGAAAAATGTCTATTCCAGCATTATCAGGCAAAGCTTTTTTACTTATTACTGGTGCCAGTCGAGGAATTGGTAAACAAATTGCAATATCATTTGGACCATTATTACAAAAGGGATCACATGTACTTTTATTGGCAACCAACTTGAATGCTTTAAAAGAAACAGCTGCGCAATTACCTTCAAATTTAATAATTGATTATACTAGTATTGATTTGGAAGTGGCCACAAAAGATGATCTAAAAAGTGAGAATATTGACAACACAAACTATAATTTTTAAAAAATAAATAGCATTTCATATATTTCTACATACTTTTAGAAGTTATATTATCATCTTTGAAAGGAACTGATCCCAAGAAATTTGATAGAGTTATTGTTGTGCATAATGTTGGAACATCTGGTGATATTTCAAAATGGACCAATGATATGACAGATATAAACATATGGAGAAAGTATTATGATCTTAATATGTTTATGCCTATTGTACTAAATGGATTATTGATGGAGATATTTAATGAAAAAACCAATACTAAAAAACTAATTATCAATATCACTTCTTTACTTGGTATACAACCATGTAAGTCAGCTGGATATTATTGTACTGTAAAAGCAGCAAAAGAGATGTTTTTTAAGGTACAAGTGCATTCATGTATGTTATATTAAAATTACATTTTAATTACTTCTTTTCTAAGAAAATAATGCTTTGTATAGGTGTTTGCCTTAGAAAATCCTGAAGTAGATGTATTAAATTACTCACCTGGTCCTGTTGACACTGATATGTTGCAGAGTTTTCTTAAAGATATGTCTAATAAAGAATTTATTAAAAATTCAACTATTTTAACAACAGAGCAAACAATTACTCGTCTTATAGAAGTCTTGAAAAATCATAAATATAAATCTGGTGACCATGTAGATTACTTTGATAAACTGGAGTAAATGCTAATTAATCTGCTTATATCAAAATATTAAAAGCACAAATAAAAATGAATATAAAAATAATAAACAAATAAATAAAAAACATTATATAATAAAAACTTTTTATGATATAATACACATTTATTATACTTGTTATTTGAAATGTAAATCACTTATATTATTTTGCATTAATATATACTAAATACTACAATTATAATAAAAGATATTGAGAATCTCAGATTGTTACAATCATTATTATATATTCATAAATATTTTTTAATATCACAGTCTAATATTTGAACAGTTTCTTATATTAAAAACAAAATTACCAAATTTTAATTCTGTTTTGAAGATTATTAATAAATTTTTGAAAATATATCACAATCTATAAATCATACATTGTTAAAACTATTAAAAAAGAAAATATATAAAATTTCTTATGTGATTTTATAACCTTCTAGGAAAACCTTTAAAAATATAAACATTGTAATATGCATTTTATATAAAAAGTTCTCAATATTTTACATAGAGAAAATCTCAAATACTGAAGAGGACTTAATAATTGTAATATATCTTATTCACTCTCCTCTGAGATCACTCTATATTGTAATGTATCCATTTTTGTAATGCGTATATGTATGCATATCAATAATATAATCATTATAATAAAAAGAACACATGATATTAACCATACGGGAGAAGGATATATTGGAGGCAAGTAATGAGAATAAACTGTTGTATATAAGGAAGCTGCAGCAAATGGCATAGTTGTTTCAATTGATGTAATTAATGAAAAAACTTTACCTATTTAAATATTTCATAAATTCAATTAATTAAAAATACATGAATTAAAGTATAACTATATATTTTATACTACCTGCATCAGAAGATGGGACTAATTTAGATAAAATTGAACGAATTGCTGGCCCAGAAATACCTCCAAACATTGATATAAATACAGATAAATACATATGCCAAGCTTGCCATGCAAAGGCTTTCATAAGAACACCACTTAGAGATGAAATAGAAGCCAACATAACTAAACCAGTTTCTAGACAACCTATAATTCATGGATAGATGTTTTAAATATAAAAACTTTATATTGAATTATTAAACCACAAGATTCTTTTTTATTTAATACCTTTTAGAGAGCCAATAATTTTAATTCCAATTAAAGTTCCTATTATACCTAATGCAACATTAGCACCCATATAGTTAGAATACTGACTTACATCCCAACCAAATCTTGCATTGCTAAATAAATATGAAATTGACATATCACCATCCATCGTTACAATATATAAGATAAGATACATTATACAGCACCAAACAACACAACGATCAAAACCATCTCTTTTCTTTATACAAGTACTAATAAGATCTTTTACAAGACTTACATCAAACAAAGAACTCCACATTCTCTAAAATATATAATTTATTATTCCTTATGGTAATATTTTTAATTTTATAATAGCATGGAATTATATTATTTGTATTACTTTTATTACTTACTGATGAAGAATATTGTACTGTTTCAGATACAAAGAATAATACATATATATTCGCCAACATTATAGACATAGCTGCCACACTAAGTGTAACTGGATATCCATATAGTTTAAAAATATAAGGGCCAATAAAAATACCTACTATAAGTCCCAATGAAATTAATATCTCTAAGTAAGCTAAATGCCATGTTCTATCTTTTTCAAGACTAATATCAGAAATGTAAGAAAATGAAGCTAATAAAATTATACATAATCCTCCAAAGCATGCAGAAGGCATATAGGCTATCAATAAATACCAAGGATTAATATCCCACATAGTCATCAATGAGAGAAGACAAAATGTTAACGAATAGCCTATAATGTAAAAACATTATTTTATTTATATATTGAACAAATTATTATATCAAATATTATTCTCATTTATTCCTTTACCAGTATATCCTGCTAATAAAAGAGGTTTTCTTCCATATTTGTCACTCCATGGCCCCACAAAAAAGGACAAAAAAGCAGGTAAAAGATTCTCAACGAACGATTTAGACATGGAGATCAGATTTACTTGTGACTGTACCAAGATATCTATTCTATGAGCTTCATTACTACTTCCATTTTGATTTATTATCAAACATTCTGTTTTATTAATATTTAATACAACTGTACATGTGCGATATACTATCAAATCTGTTAAGATAGTACCTAAATACGAAGATAACAAAAATAATATTTAAAAAACAAAACAAAAAACTTATTTTTAATTACCTGACATTGACATGGCAAATATTAACATCATTATTGGTGGTTGTACTGATACATAACACTTCCATCCTGTAACAATTGCCATATTTTTTATAATTTAGTAATTTAAAAATTATTTTTTAACTTAATTATACTTCTTTTCAAAATTACACTTTAAAAATATAATGGACTATTTATAGCAATGTTGAAATATGCGTGATTCGTACGACTTCGTGATAATCATTATATCTGATAATTACTGTCCTACGTAGTTACATATTTAAAACATTATATGTAATTATTCTTTGTGTCATTCGAGTCTATCTGTACGTCATATTGCCATAAACTAACATCACAAGTTAATCTATAGAAGTAAATCGTTTATTAAAAAAACTCATATCATAATTTTTATTTTCTACATAACAAAATTATGTTTATCATTTGATCAACTGCTTAATTTCATTTGGTAGATGGCATTAATATAGAGCATCAAAATAACAATGACAAAGTAACAATTACTGTTAGTTTCATATCTTTAACTAGTATTCAAATACTATTTGTACGTTGTGTGCTAAGGCTGTTCACTATTCTAGGTTTTTTAATAGTTTACGTCATTTATGAAAACATACGTAATTCTTGATCGATTTTGATGAACAAGGTTTCATTTTAAAGACGAAGGTTTAATTTACGGCGTATTGGTTCCAAATTTTTGAAAAAGCTTTTTTCCTTCGAGAAAAAATCTTGTTAGAAAATGATATTTTTGGAAATATATTGGATATATACAAAAAAACATTTTTCAAAACTTTGGAACCAATACATTGTAGATTAAACCTTTATCTTTAAAATGAGTCCTTGTTTATCACTATTGATCAAGAATTATTTCTATTCTCATTGATGGCATAAATGCTATTTTTGACATTTTTCGCGAAGATAAAACTTAGTATTGTGGCGCTCCTCGAAATTTGCGGCGAAAGAAATGAAGCTCGTATCCTCACTACTGATTTTCATATATACGCTTGAATAGTGTATGTTATATCCGTGAAGTAGCGATTGTCTGCTTGGTGTGTGCGTAAATAAATAATGCTCAGATTTTTTGAATATTTTCAAACGCAAAAAAATACGTTTCACGATGTTCATACGAAGAAGCTCCGCAAACTCTCTTGATCATTTTAATGAGTTTTAGCCAGATGATACTATGGCAAAGAAAATACGTGTTTAATCATTTATGTCAAGGCATTTGAGTTTTTAAAATATTGTTAAATTTTCGAAAAATGTATGGTTTTTTTTACATTTTATACACTAAAAAGATAGAAATACTATAAGCAATGTGTAGCACATTGGCAGTCATCTAGAGTCGTAATTCAAGAAATCTTAGGTTTGAAGCTAAATAATTCCGGTAGTTTTTTTATTGTATCGATGTAGACGGAAATAATTAATTTACTATTTCTTCCTTATTTGATAATCTAGTAAGGTATTACTATCCAATCTCTTATATTTATTTTCTCCACTGATGGCTGACTTGAATTTCCTACTTAGAACAGATCACCGTGAAACAGGTAACACACCAGCAATATAATTTTGTTCGATGACAAATGCATATAAAGTATATACAATTAGTCGTATATATAATTATATACAATTATATACAATTATTTTTTCAAACAAGTATATACAATTATTTTTTCAAAAGTAATAAGTAGTGAACATATATATTATATATTATTTTTAATAAAGATCAAAACGAGTTCGTTTCCACATTATCTACGAGATTTTTCTCCCAGCGTTATTTTGTTATGGTTTCCTCTGTAGTAGTTCACTTCATATTATTACTATTACTACTACTATTACTATAATAATATATAATGTAATAAAATAGTAATAAAAATAGTAACAAGAAGAAGAATATACTTATAATGTATACATCATGACACATATGATGACGGTGATTTATAATAACAAAAGAAGGAAAAATGTATCATTTTACATAATGGTTCGACGTGCGAATTTTCAATAAATATTATAAAACAATTGGATTGAAAATAATTTATAGTAATGTCTTTTTCAAATACAATTGTAACTAAGAAAGAAAATTAATTCTATAACAATTTTAATGTCTATTGAAAATTGTTCTTTTTCTCTCTTTTCCTGATGTTACAATACCATCTATATAAATTTAGGAATCCTTAAACATTAAAAGGTTCAGCTAAACAAAGAATAGACTGAGTTGGAATAAAATTTTAAAGATTTTATAGTTGATAGTAATGAAGGATTCAATAAGATAAATATTACACAATGAAAATACTATTTATATAGATTTTTGGGATAAATTTAAATATTTAGATAAATATAGTTTTCTGTAATATTTTTAGAATTGTATATCATCAAATTTTATAAAAACTATTTAATAATTTAAAAAAATATTTTCAAACTTTATGCATTTATGTTATGGAAATTGTCCAATAAATAATATCGACATTTTTAATATAATATCTATATACATAAGAGTTCAGAATTAGATACCATATTATGAAAAAATTGATAATAGAAATATAGAATATCAATAAAGATTGGATACTTTATATAGTAATAAGAACGTTAACAATATTATACAGCATTTTCTACTAAAATTAATATTAATAAGTTAAGAAAAATATCCTTCATATAATTTATTTAATAGTGAGAATTGATACTATTGCATTCACAGCTAAATATTTGTGACACTATCTAGTAATGAGAATTGATATGTTTAATATATAAATATAATTATTATTATAATAAAAATTTTATTTATGTATTTATATATATATAATAAATAATTTTTAATAATATCCATTTGTATGATTAAAATATTATATATAAAATATATATTAAAAATACAGAACTTTATAAAAAATTCCTTATCTATGATGTTTTCCTATTACCAAAATTCATTTTGTGCTCATATATATATTATATATTATTTGTATATATAGACATATTGATGAAAGAATAAATACGAAAACACTATGTCTTTTTTTTATTATTAATCATTTTTCATGAATTTTTATGATATTATGTAATTCTAGAGAAACTGCGGAACATTCTTTTTAAATTATTCATCAACCCTGGTTTTATAATTGTTCATGCCAACATTAAGTACAGGAGTAATTCTTGATTGATTTTGATGAAGAAGATTTCATTATAAAGATGAAAATTTAAACGAGGATATAGCTGTTTTGAATTTTTGAAAAGCTTTGTTTTCTTTGAAAAAAAATCGTATTAAAAAATATTGTTTTATTGATATTTATTATATTTATGAATTTATATTTTATTTTACATAAAAATAAAATCCCCATTACTGATTTCGTTTCAGTAAAATTGACGATTACTTTTTCGTACGCTGCATAAACTGATACTTAGATTTTCTGATTCATTAAAAACGCAAAGAAACATGTTTCGTCATGATCATATAGAAAAGCCATGATAACAAGGCATTTTAATGATCTTTCGACTGATGATTCTATCGTAAAAATAAACAAATACCAGTCGTTCACGTTAATGGGTCTTAACAATAATATACAATTTTAGAATAATTTCATAATTATTTAAACGATGTATAATGTACATGAAGTACAATAATATTTAAACAATATTATACATTCGTTTAATATTACACAGCTTGTAACATGCGTTAAATATAAAATAATTTCAATTAAATTTATATTAATATTTAACAATAATATTTGAACAGTTAAATTTTGATCTCTAGATCGTTAACTACATTTAATATTAACAAAAACAAACATTCGACTGACTTTGATATTCATCGAAGCGTGGCTTCTTCGTGCGAGCATGGCGAAACGCATTTCTTTGCGTTTTAAGTGGATCAGAAAATTAGAATAACGATTTACGCAGTGAACAAGGAAGCAATCAAATACTTTACGGAAATAAAATACAAACACCATTCAAGTATATATGAAAATTAGTAAAGATAGAAGTTTCTCTTTTACTATAGTTTTAAAGACGCCACTATATGAAACTTGTTTTCACGAAAAATTTCGAAAACAGGTTTTAAATCAACGGCTATTCAAAACGTATTTCTTGAACGATTTTGATGAACAAAATCTCATTTTAAAAATAAAGGTTTAAGGAAGAACGTACCTTTTCCGAATTTTTTAAAAGATTTTATTTTATATGCATGAACTATTATTGTTGAACAAACATCATTTTTAACTTGAATTGTTGGAAAAAAAAAGCTTTTTTAAAAGTTCACTGGCCAAATGGCAAATGAAATAATTTCAATTATTGTCTAGAATATTTACATAGAAAACAAAAAACATAAACGACGACAATAAATATTCAAGAACAATTTTATATTTTTTATACTGTCGCCACCTAGTGATGTAGAACATAACATGAGCTCAATCAGCTTATAAGAGTTTTCTGAGCTAGAGACATCTTTTTCTCAAGCATTATTATTGTTTCATAATTGGTGGAAATTTTATATTATTTTAATTAGATTTATAAAATGTGGTTTTGCATATTTTAAAGCATTTTCATTATGAATCAGTATTAATAAATTAATATTTAAAGATCTTATATGGTTAGTAAAACAAATATAAATATCGTTACTTTTATATGTAAGTGATTGCTGAATGAACTTGCGCATAAAGAATAGTATGCGTGTAATATGTACACGTATTAAAGTGTGAGGATAAAGAGTGTAAACAACAATAATTACAATTTGACTTATGGTCATGTGAAATTCTTCTCTAGTTCTATAAAATTGTTAACTCTATCATTTGTATACGTAACGATAAAAAATATGGCGACGATGGATGAAACAAAGCTGGATGTAAGTATTGATATTCTAATTTTTTATTTGGTTTGACAGATAATATTTATTTGTCAGATGTGATTGCGAAGTGTATCCTCTTAAAATTAATTACATATTCAATCTATTATTTTTATAATATTAAAACTATACGGACTATTCATTATAGACAATATTTTCAATAAGTTATTAAATGTCTAATAGATGTACGATGATGCAACATATACTGTGGATCCTCAAAATGTTGAAGGAGAGATGACAGTAGGACCCAAACAAAAATCAAGCCTAGGTGAACTAGAATTTAATACATTAGATGAACCAATAAGAGATACAATTGTAAGTTATCATTGATAATTTATATATCTTTCTGATTACAGTGTATTCTCATATTATTTTTTATATAACAACATTAATCTTTTCTGTATCATTTTTTATAATACAGCTTAGAGATGTTAGAGCTGTAGGCAAGAAATTCTATCACGTTTTATATCCTAGGGAGAAGAAAAGTTTATTGAAAGAATGTATGTATATCATTTATTTAATGAAATCATAATTTTACTTTCAACCATATTGTTTATTTTTAGGGGACCTCTGGGGACCGTTAGTGTTATGTACATTTATGGCAATGTAAGATTTATTAGTTTATATATATATTATTTATATAATTATTTAACAGAAGGATATTGTTCATAAATAGGATATTACAAGGATCATCTGGTACAGTTGATAATTCTAACGATGGTGGACCTGAATTTGCAGAGGTATTTGTTATAGTATGGATTGGATCCATGATTGTCACACTGAATTCTAAACTTTTAGGTGGTAACATGTAAGTATAATTGTTTCAACTTGTTTAATACGTTTTACTTTCATATCGCTCATACGATTAGATCCATCACTTACATTTTTCACATTTTAGATCATTTTTCCAAAGTGTCTGTGTCTTAGGATATTGTTTATTACCAACTGCCATTGCATTAATCTTATGCATAATTATATTAATGGTAGAACAAAGTACTTTTTTGTTCATACTCAGATTTATTATTACTATGATTGGGTTTATATGGGCCACGTATGGTTAGTATAAGAAAATTTTAGAATTATATCTTTTTATAATTTTATATTATTATCATTTATTTTTATATTTTAGCATCTATGGCATTCCTTGGAGATAGTCAGCCTGTTGGAAGAAAACCTTTGGCTGTTTATCCTATTTTTCTATTTTATTTTGTTATTTCATGGCTAGTAATATCACATACGACATAAAATCAAATATAATAATTAACAATATTTTATATAGAAGACTGTACATGTGACTAATTCATCTTAGTATTTCTAGACATGTAATTGTAATCCAAAAATAATGTGTAAGAGATGCTTGATCATTTCAAATTTACAATTTATATTATCTGCTTTTTGTCTATTACAAAGCATGTTTGTACTATGAAGTATTAGTTGCATAACCGTCGTTTTGTATATCAATTACACTATATTTATAGAAAAAAATGTTTATAATAATCTATTTAATAATCTTTCCAAGCAATTAATGTAATTAGTAATTCAACAGAGACATTAAATTTATTATTGCTTATTATACATTTATACAAATTCCATTATAATTAAATGTACAAAGTAAATAATTAATGATATAAAGTCATGGTTACTATTTTGTAAATAAATATTTGTTATTATTACCATAAAAGTTATATGCAATTTTTTTTTAATATTTTAAAATATATTATAATTTTATTTTTAATACTAGATATATTAATATTTGTTGTATACATATTTTTAATAAGTAAATTTAAAAAATATGAAGCTTTCATCTTTTTCACATTCTTGCTCATTTAACATTTATAAATACACACTTTTTTGTATTATAAAATTCTAGTGGAATAAAATATAAGTTACCTTAAATATAACAAAAATATTGTTCCAATTTTTTAAGAAGATTAATACTATCACAGTGTCCTGGATATACATTTAATGATTTTTGTATTGCAATATAACTTGTTTGAAAATCTCCTAACTGTAAACAATAAAATAAAATAATATTGTTTACAATGTATTATGTTTATATGCAAGTATTGTTTGAATACCTTATATGCTAAGTGTGCACTATTAAAATGTGGCTCGTGTATGTAATTTGCAATAGTGGCTGCTGCATGGAAATAAGTTCTCGCAGTTGTAACATTACCATTTTTCATTTGTATTACACCAAGATTATTATATGCCAATGCATGTCTATTGTCAACTGCAATAGCAAGTTTTAAACATTCTTCTGCCATCTCTAAATCACCTAAGCTCTAAGCAGATGTGAATTAATGAAATTATGTACAAAATCATTACACAATTTAAATCTTATTAATTCTCTTACAATTGCAATATGAGAAATATTGTACCAAATATCAGCTTTGTTTTCATCATTGGCAAGGCTCAAGGCCCTTTCAAAGCATGATATTGTATGATCATATTGTTGTGCATAAAAGCAGCACAATCCAAGATTATTAAATAATTCAGTATTATAAACACCCATTTGTAGTAATCTTCTGCAAAAAATACATTTTTACTGTATTTTTTGCAATCCATCTTTAAAATATAAAAAAAATTATAATTAATTCTTATTTACCTGTAAAAGCGTAAAGCCAGTTCTGGTTGATCATTATAAAAATGATGCATTCCAATACTTGCGATTGCTTCTGTATGAGAAGCATCTTCTTGAGCTATCAATTTATAATATTTCATCGACATTGACATGTTATTTAAGCCTTCAAAAATTCGTCCCATTTCAACAAGTATAGTAACCTGAAGTATACTATCTAACAATTATATGTTTTCCAATATATATTTTAAAATAAATTACAATATTATATTACATACATCATTTGGAAAATACTCTAGACCACTTTTACATATATCTAAAGCAGCCAATGGTTGGTCTAATCTAATATATACTCTAATCAATCTTATAGTCGTTTCAATAGCTTTACAATCACGTAAGGCTGATCTAAATTGTTGTTCTGCATCTCTCATTAAACCTAAAGTATAATAACATTTTCCTAATTGTACTTTCCACCACCAATCCTTATATTGACAAGCTTGTGTTGCTTGTACTGCTAAGTCAAGAGCCTGAAAAGAATTAGATTTTAGTTTTGTACAATTTTTAAAAGACAGTTCTACAAATTGAAAACATGATTTATGCCATAAATATCGTATTAATACTTACATATCTGGCATCATGCTCATGGTAATAAATGTATTCAAACAAAGGTTTTGCAATGCTAGGTTGATTTGCATATTTGGCTATATTTAAACGTGATAATTGTATAAAAGGGCCACCAGGTTCTGTTAACATAGATGCAGTTCCAAGTCTAGATATACAAAATATATTTTTCCTTATAAAACAAAATATTATAACTATTTCTGCTTATAAAGCAAATGTTAATTTTATATAATATTATCATTTTCAAATGTATATTAACATTTTAACAAGATAAGAATATATCAATAACAAACCTGACATTTCGTCCAGAAATAGCAGTAATAGGTCTTGCTGTAGCTGCTGTTCTTGGCATTCTTAATGCTTGTTCCATTGTTTGTGATATTGCTGATTGTGTAGCAGGTCTTACAACTCCAGTAACAGGTCTACCTTTAAAAAAAAATTAAAATTTTTATTATTATAAATATTGTTACTTTATCTTATTTGTTTCTGATATATTGTACCTGACTGAGTTTTAGGGCGGATTCCATGTTCAATTCGGGCAGTTCCAGGATTTTTTAAAGATGTACCTGGTCTAGGCATTGTAGTCATTGTATAATTATCTAACAAACCTTCTGCAATTCCTTCTTCTTCACTTTCTATGTCATCAACATAAACTTGTAATGTTAAAGCACGCATTTTTAAAACCCATATTGCCTAAAAGTAAATAAACATACATCAAATTATGACATAAAAAGAAACTTGTTATATTATATTATTAATGTAATGTAAGATATATAATATATTCATACCTGATCTAATGGATTTTTTTTCAACAATTCTGTACATTTAGTTACACAAGCTTCATATTTTTGCCGATTAAACAAACTTAAAGCAATGAATAAATCCATGGTAATAATAATAGATTTAAAAATATGAAATATATTTAAATCGTATAATCTAGTTACACTTTCAATATCTTTTTCATACCTGTTATACTATTTAGCCTATACTGTCTATACCTGCTACAGTTGTATTGATTATTTTCTTCATGACCTACTTTGACATTTTTTGTAATTTTACATGACATTATAGTCTTTTTAATATATCCTTTATAAATATTTATTTAACCCGAATTTAGTTACATATCATTATAAACTTCAAAGCTTTTATAACAATGTTTATGACAAAGAACTTGCATGACTGATTTTTAATTAAAATTTTATGAACTTTATATAGTAATATCTTTAAAATAATAAATTATTGTAAGAATTATAAAAGTAAAAATATATTTTAGAGAATATTATATAAAAATAATGGCATATATAAATTATGATGATATCAGGTTAATATATAAATTTATAAAAATTAATACCTTTCAATTTATCTAAATTTCTATTTTATTAAGTTCCTATTTTTTATAGCATAAAAAAAGAATTCGGAAAGTTTTTTAAAACAAAAAGCATTGGAGAACAATGTACAGAAGAATCTTTGATGCATTTATACAATAAATTTTTAGTAGGTAGTTCAGATACATTTAAATGAAAGATAATTTTCACATTACATTAATATTTGTAGACAACAAAAAACAAAAAAATGAATATGTCTCAGTTAGAACATGCCTTTATATCTATTTTAAATATAAAAATGTCTTCCAAAGATTTCAGTATCTTATTTCAGAAGGTAAGAAGCTATTTTATATCATTCGAAAAATAGTATATAATATATTTACTTTTAGATAAATTTAAGAAAAGATGGATATGTAACATGGAATGAATTTATTTCTTACTTAATAATGGAATTTCAAAAGACGGATATATCCTTACAATATCAAATGTTAGAACTTCCACTTACAGGCTCACCTAAAATATTAAAAACACATCATCGTACTCCAATTTGTAGAATTGCTTTCTATCCTGAATTACTTCCAGTGCGTGTATATTACATATTAAAATAAGATAAAAAATAAGATATTATATAAATAAGTAATAAATATTTTGTAATAAAGAATCTTATGTTGATAGGATCGAAGCAGTAGTTTTCAAAAAGGTTGTTATCTGACTGCTAGTAGAGATGGAGTTATTAATTATTGGTCATTAGATTTTAAATATGAACGCAGTGTACAATCTGTAAATCGTTAGTATTTTTATATAAATTGTTTTATATTCTTTTACACATACAAATCTTATATTTTTATAGCATATTTGAAGGTACAACAAACCACAATAACTGATATGATACTAATGCCAGATGTTCAAATAATATGTACAAGCTCTACTGAACGTGATTTAAGATTTTATGATGTTGTGGCAAAGAAATTTGAATTACGTGTGATGGTTTGTATTGAATATTGATGTAATGAAAATTTCTTTACATTACATAAAATTATAAAATATTCTTAGATATCAAGTTTAAATTATGTTGTTGTATGTATGTCATATTACTTCAGTTCAAACATAAAGGATAACTCTTACATTATTTTGGGAGATACAAATGGATCTATTATAATCATGACTTTTTCTTCCATAGAAAAAGGGCCTTTTAAACAACAATCTGAATACAATACAATATCCATACGTTATGAAGCACTTATCAGAGTATAAAATAGCTAATTAAGTGTTTAATATTTGCTTTGATATTGTTTTTAAAGTACTGTATTACAGGATGAGCTACCTGATCTAAAAGTAATAGAAATTAAACATGTACATACAAATTGGGTAAATCAAGTGGCTTATTATGGAAATCTTAGAGCTTTCATGTCTAGCAGCAAATGTTCAGAATGTTCATTATTATTTAGTGATCCTACAAGGATGAGAATACAATATAAATTTACTGTCGCAAGGGGAATATCTTGTTTTAATTTTTGTGAAGGTAATTTGATATCTATATATTATAATTATATTTGTGATATTATAAAAAATTATTTTTTCAGAAAGTCAAATACTTGTAACAGGTGGTCCTGATTGTATAATCCGAGTTTGGAATCCTTTTGTACCAACAAAAGCAAGTAATATTTTTCAAGGACACCAAGCAACTATTTGTGCTATAATATTACAAAATGCAGGCCAGCGTATATATTCTTTATCAAAAGATAAATGCATAAAAGTTTGGGATGTTCCTACTTATACTTGTATACAGGTCTTATATTATTTTTTGGCTATAAAATTAAAAATTTTTGTGTACTAGTTTTATACCTCAATATTGCTATTATTGTTTTTAGACATACAATGGTTTACAAAAAGAACTAAGTGAAAACATAAAAGTATCCGTAATTTATAATAAATTAACACATAAAATGATCATTTGTAGTATGATAATTGCCATTGTTATTTGTGAACAAGTGATCAATGAGGAAATATCAGATGGAATTTCTCATACAAAGCCTGTTAGTTCTGTACTTTATAATCATTTATATAAATTAGTAAGCGATTTTTATATATTCTTAGCATTACAAAATTTCATAATATTTATGAATTATATTGCTACTGTTAAATTTAGATTGTTTCTACAGGATTAGATTCATGTATTATAGTATGGGATCCTTGGGTTGGTCGTCGTTTATATTTAGTGACTAATGCTCATAGTATTTTACTATATGGACAATATGTTAACATTGAAATTACTGCTGCTACTTTCGATGATTCTGAACAATTATTGGTAACAGGTGCTAGAAATGGATCATTAAAAATATGGAATTTTAATACAGGAACATGTTTGCGAAATATGGCAATAGAGGATCAATGGTAGAAACATTTTAATACCAAATGATTATAGTGTATCTATTCTATTATTTTTATTCTTTATAAAATTGTACATGATTATTTCTTATAGTGAAATAACTAGTTTAAATTGGGTGGAGAATCGTATTTTATGTACAGGATGGAATCAACGTGTTACAGAATTTACAATCTCTGAACTTCACACGTATAAAAAAAGCTGGGAGTTGATACATACAGATGATGTACTTTTTTCAGCTGTACAATATCCACAAGTTTTAGCTACTGCTTCATATAATGGAGAAATAATTTTGTGGCGACTTGAAACAGGTCAGCCATACAGAAGATATCAAGTGAGTAATGCAACTGGAAGGTAAGTACATTCATTATAAAGATATTAGCTAAAACAAATACTTATTTAAACGATCAAATATATTTAGATATGCTATTAAAGATAAAAATAATCTTAAAGAAAATATGAAAGAAACTTTGTCAAAAATAAAAGAAGTTAAACTAAAACAACAAATTTTAAATGAAGAAAACTATGATCAATCTAGGTAATTATAAACAATAATTTTAACAAAAACAGAAATATTTCATACATACAATTTTTTAAATTATACTTTTCTCTTATAGCAAATACATTAATATTTGTTCTCATCAACAATCAGCATTAAATAGAACTCGATTAGTGACTGTCTGTGCCATTATATATTTAAATTCAAGACCAATGAATCCTAATATTGGTACATTATTAGTTTCACTTGAATCTGGAATCATACAAGTGTGGAGTCATCATCCTGCTGGAAGATTCTTAACAGGTTTCTCAGTTATTCATACGAGAAGAGATTCTGCTATTTCTTTAGCTACTGATCCTGAAAACAATTACTTGATAACAGGTAAAATATTTTATTATGTACTAAAAATCATATTTATTCAGCATAATAAAATACTTATAGGCCATTGTTTCGGATATATAAAAGTTTGGTATCTCGCAAATTATACAATACCTAATCCTCCTAAAGTGTGTATGCCACTTTTAAGATTAGAATTTCCATTTCTTTGGAAAGATATAATAAATGGTCGTGCTAAGCGAGCTGTACAAAACCAACCATTACCACTTTTATTGTCATCCCTTCGTGGTCATACAAAGGCAATTACGTGTCTTCAGATAATTCCTGATGCACGTATTATTATCAGGTATCATAGTGTTATTTGATCATTATACATTTACATCATGTTATAATTTAGGGTTTATAATTACATTATTATTTCTAAGTGGAAGTGCAGATCATACAGTACGTTTATGGACTTTAGGAGGTCGTTATATATCAACTTTGGGAACATTTAGAGAATGGATGCCAATTTTACCTCACATACCTGTATCTAAATATTTTCAACATTTTAGATATCCCATGGATATTAAGAGATCTGCTAGTTTCACTACTATGAAAGTAAGTAAATGATGATATATTAAAACCTCATTTATATGTATAATTAATATTAATGTATAATAATAAACAGGTTCTCCAAGGAGGTCTAGGCTCAGTAGAGATTAAAGATGTTGATGAAACTGATTATCTGAAGATAATTCCAGAACAAAGTAGACATATATTGTATGGAGAACAATTGCAAAGTCCAATTCTTGGAAATTATTACAAAGTATCTGACGAAACAAAACATTATATTGAGCCAACAGTTTTGGATAATTCTTTAACACATGTGAGTTATAAATTAAATTTCAAGGGACATTATTTATCTTTGATAACATTTTTATAATATTGTTAGATACCAGTGTATACACATCTAATAACACATACCTTAAAGCACATTGAATCTAAGTAAATCCTTAATTGTGGATGGTCAAAAAAAGGAATTTTTGTAAAACGACATCACCATTGTCATTATTTCTACTTATGTTAAATAACATTATGAATAAATGAAAATATAACACATGAAAAATTAAATTTATATAATAAATTCATTTGTCTAAAAAAAAAAAAAAAAAAAAAAAAAAAAAAAATTCTTACATACTATAACCAGTACTTTGCACAAGTATTTCATATAAAACAAAAAAATTTCATATAAAGGAATATTAACAACACTTTGTAAAGAACATAGAAGTACTGGGTACATTATTATTACGAAAATTTAATACAAATTACAACATACGTATGTTGATAGAAGCACACATTACGTGTATGTGCATATCAAATAATTCATAGATCGTTGAAGTTATATGTTACAAAGCACAAAAAATTCTTAAACAGTTTAATAGTATTAAACATGTTATGCTTAATATATTTAATAATATTAATAGAGCTGTGATTAAATATCAATTTCATTGAAAGGAGACTAATTATTCAGTTTCCATCATTGAATAACGAGGTGGTGTTTTCCAGATTGCACTTGATGTACGTTTCAATCTATTTCTATCAATACCAATAAATAATTCGGTTAAATCTGGAGTACACTTTCGAGTATCAAAGAATTTATAAACTGCTATATCTGGTATATATCGTTGCATTGCTAGTTGTGCTTTTCTTATATGTGCTAAAATAAATGAATATTATTATATGTATTATATATTATCAATTAAAATATACGATTAATACTAAAAAAAAGGTATATATACGTACGCTGTGCCCAATATGGAATTACATGTTTTGGCTTGGATTCATCATCTGAGTCATCGTCATCAGGTTCACTGTCAAGAATGTAATTTACTGGACCCTGATTTTTATTAGTAGCCATTTGTTTATTCTAGAAAACAAAATGAGGTTTTTTATTTTTTTAAAAGATTATGCAATTGTTACCATGGATAGCATATAATAAAAACAATTCACTTTTGCTTGTCCTGTAAGCATTTGTGCTTTTAACCGCATTGCTTCTATAGCAGCTTGTTGTTGTGCTCTTGCTTCAGCTTCTCGTCGTTTATCAGCTTCTTGTTCTCTACGTCTTTGCTCTGCAAGTAAACGTTCTGCCTCTTCTTGTTCAAGTAATCGTTTTAATCTTAGTTGTTCTTCTTGCTTTCTCTTTTCTTCTTTCTCCTTTAGGAACAGTTACAGAATTTATTTTGTATTGTTAATGTATATTTATTTTTATATAGATAAAAGAATATTTAAAAAAAATAACCTGAGCTCTTTGTAATTGTGCAAGTCGTTTTCTTTCCATTTCTTCACGTTGTTTTTCTTGTATGTGTTGCGCTAATCTCGCTTTCTCTTCCTTCTCTCGTTCTGCCCTCTGCCGTTTTTCTAATTCTTGCTTCTCTTTGGCTTCTCGTGCTAATCTATTTTTTAATTCCTTCTCTTGTCTCTTCCTATAAGCCAAAAGTATAAATCAGAGAAATAATTTTTCTATAAAATTATTAAATACTATATAATAGTAATAAGATTTTACCTTCTTTTTTCTTCTGTCTGAAGTCTCAAGGCTTCATCTCTTTTTCTCCTTGCATTTTCATCATTTATCTGTTTTCGTTTTGTCTCTTCTATTTTATCTATAGAATTTTGCTTGCTAGCTGTTCTTGGCATGGGAATTAATGATTCTACTGATGTTACAATGTTTGCACGAGAAGCTGTAAAAGCTTTTATAGACTAAAAATAAAACATATAACTTTTAAATAATTAATCTTCATTTTTGACAAATGTATCATAAGGAAGGTAATTTATTTTTCAATTTACGTTTGGAAGCAGTTGATTGTTGATTGGAGTTTTTGGATTACGATTCAAAGACATTGGTAATTGTATTTTAGGTTTGCTGAGAGGAGTTACTTTTTGCCGCTGCTTTGGATTGATTTTTTCATGCTGCAATAATTTATTCGTTCCCATGTTTGTTGCTATGTTCAATTTGTTCTGAAAATTAAATTTTATCAGTATTTAGTTTAAAAAACATTTAATTGTTTACAAAAATAAAATGGCTTACTTCCTTAAATTCTTCATCTTTTACTTGTTTTGCCAAAGAAATTTTTTTTGCTCTTGCAAGGGACTTACGAGCTAATTTTTGTGCGACAGTTTTATCAGCTTCTGCAGCAGCCATGGCACGTGTTTTCGTTCTAGTTATTCTCATCGGTGCATCTTCGTCAACTAATCTAGGACTACTCATACAAACCTGTTCAAATGCTTCTACCCGTTTTTTAACAGATTCCTTGGCATAAGGACTAAATAGAACATTTGACTTATAAGTACTTCTTAACTCCTTTAAAGCAGAATTTTCTTTTATAACAGGTCTCATAGGTGTATTAAGAACTTCATCATCACTTGTTGAAGGAGATTGTATGATTTTCTTTTGCTTTTTAGAATTTACGTCTACTTTAAGATTTTGTACTTTTCCTCGTACTCTATTTATTTCTGGTGAAGATTCATCGTCCGTAATTAATTCATCAAATTCTTTATTTGCCATAGCTTCTTTAAATTGTTGAACCCTATCCTTTGCTTGATTTTTAGATGTCTTTTTTGTTTCAGATGAATAACATGAACTTAATTTATTTTTATCATTTGTGATAGTATTGTTTTGCTCTATATGTTGTTTATTGTTAAGTTCATTACTGATTGAATTGACAGAACTTTTCTTTATCGTTACTGTTTCATTTAATATTATTTGCCTTGGCAAAGGTTCTAATACTACTGTCACATTCATCATTTTATCTAATAAAGTAGAACTAACTTTCATTGTTGAATTCATAATTGGAAGATGTTTTGGTAATGCATCCTCATACATTGATGGCTCATCAATGTCATCTGTAACAGGAACAGAAAGTATTTCATCAATAATATCATCCTTTCCTCCATTTTCTTTTTGAATATCCCTAGAAATTTTTCTTTCACTTGATCTATGATGTTTTAAAGCAGAGATACAATTTTCTTCAACTTTGACAGCATTATCTTCAGCAGCACTTATTTGCGTATTAATATTTGCTTCAGTCACATCTTTCAGACTATTGTTTCTTGTTTTATGTTCTTCTATTTTAGTATGTTTTGCTGGTCTTTTATCTTCATCTTCATCAGAACTTCTTGAAGATTTAGTCCTTTTAATTCGATTGTCAGAAAGTATCTGCAAGAAAATAAATATATTTCGTTTATATATGTTAATTATTACAATATTTATAATTTATACAAACCTTATTTGTATTATCATTTTGTTGCAAGCTTTCAGGTTTTCGTAATTTACTTGTTAGCGACATAGATTGCTGCTTTCTTATATTATCTGCTGCAGTCTTAGAAGCTTTTCTCTTAGTTCTTGTACCTATAGTTTCTTCTAAATTTGATTCATTTTTCAATTTCACATCTTTATTAACAGAAGATAATAACACAATTTCTGTAGTATCTAAAACACTATCTTCTGGTATTGTTTCAATACGTTGAACTCCTTTTCTTTTCACTAACTTTGGAGTTTTTGCTATAAGAGGTCCAGATCTTGATTGAGGTATTTGCGTTATTAAATCTTGTAGATAATCCAAAATATCATCTACACTATCTCTTATAGATTTTTTAACTTCATCACAACAATTAAAAAGGTCTTCTGCATCTTTTGCAATCATCGCTTTGATCCTGTCCTTTGAATAAGTGCTCATTTTTAAAACCTGACAAAAATAATTATATTGTTGTGTAAATATCACATAATAAAATGCATTATTTAAATAAAATGGGAATTAAAATCGATGAACTATACAAAATGAAGCTTTATGAAATTAGCTTAATATAAAAATTACAAAGGTTAAAATTCATAATAAAGTAGGCTAGGCATTATAATAATTTAGGAGAACTTTTAATATAAAGGTAAGATATTAGTTTTAAGCCCGCGAAAATAAACTTGAACATTTTATCCATACCTTAATATTCTAAACAATTTAATTATATGAGAAATAAACGATTATGTCCACAGTATACCTCGCTAATATACAATTGCGTAAGACAATGAATTCTTGATAAACAATTATTAAAAATTATATAAAGTAAAAAGTTACCGACGATGCCCATCTCGCGTACAGACGGGCTGATCACTCGGCTTTCATTTCTCACGTTTTGTGTAACGTCTTTTCCGTTTAATTTAAATTTCAACCAGAACGCCATCTACGGAGAAAAAGACAAGCTTAACCAGTTAAATTCTGCAAGTGCACGTATGTACCTTAATAAATGCATTCTTGATTACGATTGGACGTTGCTGCATATACGCGTTCGCTTTGAAGAAATTTGGAAAATTTTAATGTTTTTTTCTTGTAAAATTACTCATGTAAATATATATATCTATATTCGTAATAAATAAATATTACGTCTTTGTCTTTATAAAATTTATAAAAATTTTAATAATAATAATAGAAGAGATTTTATTTTATGAATACAGATAATTTAACAAAATTAATTATTCCATGATAAATATCTGCAAACCAATCACAATTTTAGTTATACAATTTAATCACGTTAAATCAGTGGCAATATATTATAATTACAGGATATATACACGAAATGTAATATTAAAGGAGCGCGAACGAAAAAAATGAAATTTAAATTTTGATTAAATTTAATGTTTTTTTTATATCATAAAATAATAACTTTTTCAATAAAGAAAAATGAATGGAACTTGTTCGGATAAAAGGAAAATAGAAACTATATATTTAAATATTTTTCAAATCGATAATTTAATCAAAAATTAAAACCCCTAATTTCAAGTTGTGATAAACATTCATTTGTTATTAATAAATAAGGTAATCAAGAATATCAAATAATTCTTATTATTTAGTTTTATTTAAGATTTTTTCTTAAACTAAAATTTAATGTATATTCATGATTTATAAATAGATCATAAGAGAAGTGATAAAGCCATATAATTCATCATATTGTGCAACAAACATGCTGCAATAGAGATTTCTTTACAAAAAAATGGATTCATTAAACTTGAAAGAAACTGATCCCAATGCAATTCTTTCATTGATAGAAGAATTATGTGATCTATCTTATATAGAAATACAATTGAAGTTAAATACATATGTATGTATAGTTCTATAATATACAAACAGTTACTAGTTTATTAATAGAAATACAAATTAATAACATCTTTTATAGATACAAGCAAAGACTGGTACAAAAATATATTTCCTTGCCCCTATTTTATATGAAAGAAAAGAAATAGTTATTCATGTAATAGGTAATAAAGTTTTGGATCATGAATTAAGATTACCTGTAAGTGAATTTAATATAAGTAGAATTTTAGTTTTTTTAAAAGCAAACAATACATAAATAATACTTTATATAGTATAAAGATATATGATGATCTAGTACAATAATAATATTTTACAAAAAAAAGAATTATTTGAAGATATTAAAACTTAATTTGTATTATAAGAAAATATAAATTCTAATAATTCTTTTCAGATATCAAATATTTTTAATTTGGTAATAAATTGCCAGAAAACAATAATGATTACTTCTTCAGAACTACCTAAAGAATTATTGCAATATATTTATTTAGACAGGCACTGTATTCAAGTACCATTTTTCCTTATTCCTGTACAACATCATCTGAAACAATTAACAGCATTGGTTGTCTGCTTAAGTGGTTGTGAAAATAAGAATATTGATATAGACACATGTACAAAAGTAGTTCTGGATTGCTTTAGGTAAAATAGTTTCTATAGAAAAAATTTATATTATGAAGTAATTTTAATGTTAGATATAAGTAAAAACTAATAAAAATAGATACACTTTTTTAGTAGTAACAATAGTAAATTATACTACTGTATATAGATATTGCCTTGGATATATTCTAAGCTCTTTAAGATGTTATGAAGAAACTCGATTAAAACATCAATGTCAAAGCATACTTGCTATTTCTAGAAAACTTATTACTCATTTAGGTACATTATATTTTTTCTACTTAATGTTTATTTCAATCTATGTATTTGAACTATATTAAAGTGCTACTATTTAATAGGAGATTTAACCGACCTCTTACATGAAATTATGACGGAAGTTAAGAAGCTTACTAATGCAGAACGGTGTTCTTTATTTCTTTTGGAAAATGATCAACAAGAATTAGTGGCATATGTATTTGATGGAATATCGATGAAAAAGGTGATTTATTATAATTTGTATACCATTAAATTATGCATACAAAATACTGAAAATATTTTGTTACAGTTTGTTAAAGAAATGCGAATATCTGTTAATAAAGGTATAGCAGGTCATGTTGCTACGACAGGAAAACTATTAAATATTCAAGATACCTATAAACATCCATTATTTTATAGAGGTATTGATGAAGCAACAGGTTTCAAGACTAAAAATATACTTTGCTTTCCTATTCATGATGAAAATGGAATTGTTGGTAAATATTAATCCTATTATTGTTTATTATGTTTATTCTGATATTGCAGTTAATAGTTATTTAATACTAAACAATGGGTAAATTTTACAGGCGTTGCTCAACTTTGTAATAAAATAGATGGCTTGTATTTTGATGAACTTGATGAAGAAATTGCAACAGCTGTTAGTATTTATTGTGGTATAACAATTATGCATAGTATAGTATATAAAAAAATGCAAGATGCACAAGCTAGAAATAAATTAAGCAATGAAATCATGATGTATCATATGAAGGTAAACTGTAAATTGTAGATACATAATCTTTCAAGTAAATTTTAATATATTAAAAACTTTAAATTTTAGGTTGAAGATGAAGCTGTTTTTGATTTGGTTAATTATAAAATTAAAAATAATATTACTGATTTTAATGAATTTTATTTCAGTCCTAGAGATATATTTTATGAGGATATGCCTTCTTATATAATCAAGATCTTTAATGATTTAAATTTCATCAAATATTTTAAAATAAAAATGCACACGTTAGCCAGGTACTTAATTTATAAAGAGCATTAATTTATAATTAAGATACAGATTAATAGATATTTTTTACTTAGGTTTATACTCTATGTTAAAAAAGGTTATAGAAATGCATCATATCATAATTGGGTACATGCATTTTCTGTTGCACATTTTGCATATTTACTAATTAAAAATTTATGCCTTATTAGAGAAGATTATATGACATATTTGCAGGCTTTTGTGTTTTTAGTATCCTGCCTATGTCATGATATAGATCACAGAGGAACTAACAATGCTTTTCAAACTACCTCTGAATCAGTTTTAGCAAGTCTTTACAGTTCGGAAGGTTCGGTTATGGAGGTAGATCAATCTTTACAATATTATAAAAAAAACATATTTCCTTATAAATATAGATACATATGCTCTTATCATTATTTAATAGAGACATCATTTTGCACAAACTATGTGCATTTTAAATACAGAAGGTTGTAATATATTTGAAAATTTTAACAGTCAGGAATATAGAGAGGCTTTGGTTTTCCTAAAAAATAATATACTTGCAACTGATTTAGCAAGTCATTTCCTTAATACAGAGAAACAAGATGAAATATTTAGAACTGGCTATAAAAAACATGATTTTGAACACCAGAAACTTCTTTCTGGCATGTTAATGACTTGTTGTGATCTTAGTGATCAAACAAAGAATTGGACAGTTACTAAAAAAGTTGCTGTAATTATTACATTTATAAATCACAAAACATATTTGTCGCAAATAAAAAATGTGAAACTTTGTCTCCTTTTTGTATTAGGAATTAATCTATGAGGAGTTTTTTTCTCAAGGTGACTTAGAAAAAAGTATGGGTAAAACTCCAATAGAAATGATGGATAGAGATAAAGCATTTATACCAGATCTTCAAGTACAATTCATTACAGATATAGTAGAACCACTTTTTAAGTAAGTATATCTACAAAACTTTCCTTTATAATCTTTATGAAAAATGTTTTTGTTTTTCTTAGTAATTTGGCCATGCTATTTCCTATGGCACAACCACTTGTTAAGATCTTAAAATATAATAAAACATTGTGGGAAGCTTCTAAAAAGGTATTCAGAAAATATGTTAAAAATAGAATAGAAGGTATGAATGTTCTTTTGGATCCAAATTTTGAAATTGAAGTATTTCTTAGTCACTTTAAAGACAGTAATGAATCTGAAAATGCAACATGTAACTTATAAATATATATAGATACATAAAGAAATAATAATTAAAAAATATTAAATATATCAATTCTGTAAAAAATTAATTCTAAATAAATCTGACATATTTAAATCTAAATTAAGTAACACGAAATATGGAATTTCGATGTCGTTTGGATAAATTCAAATTCTTCCTTTGTTCTTTCTTTTTTATCCATATCAAATAATTTAAATATTCAATTAATACATAGACATCTATTGATATATTTTTATTAATAGTATATTTTAATCATGATTGGATATTTTAGATTTGTCATATAAATAATCCAATCAGATTACAAATACAAAAATATATATTTGCAAAAAAGAAATTGTATTTCTTTACTTAATTGCCTATATTCCTCGCAGGAAAGTTTAATTTCAATATAACTTTTCGGAAAGTTGGCTGCACTTTCAAATGTTTTTGCTTATAAACGTTCAGTGGTAGTCGTATATGTATACTTAAATTCTTGCCTTTTATTAATGAATGTGCAATTATTGATGCAGTATCTATAAAAAAATATATTATATATATAAGAAGAAAAACATTCGTGTTTAAAAAAATAAAACTATACATATACATATATATATATCTATATATATATATATATATTGATTATCACTAAATTGCATCGCGTCGAAAGATATAATAAAAATGTGGCAAACGATATTTGTTTAAAAAAATGTTTTCATTTTAAATTATAAATTTTACGATAGTGTTTATGTGAATATATGTCTGCATATTTTGTTTGATTTAACTTCTCATTATTCCATGATGGTTAGAATAAGCGTATTGACTGATAACAGATGTCAATATACTCTTTATTGTAAACTACATATATGTTATTGAATTTTATTATTTAACATCTTGGTGAAAATAGTACATTATAATAATATGAAAACAAATAACAATCAATGAATAATTTAATTAGCTACATTCGTAAATTGTTTTTCAAAATGAGTTCTGATGAAGAATATAATATAGCAGCTAGATATAAAACGGTTAGGAAACGTTTGGATAGTCTGGGTTATCAGCAAGCACTATCTTTGGATGTTCTTCCTTTAATAGAACGTTTACTGGCTGATCTTATTCAAACTACAGAAAGTTTAAAACATTTTAAAACTGTTGCACAAGAGAATATTGAAGTACGTAAAAGAATGTACAATATATATACTTTGATTCGATTTACTTGGTTATTTATAAAACATTTTACTTTTATAAAGTATGTTGTTATTTAACAGCTATACAGTTACAAAAAAAATAGTTATTTATTATTATATACAGCATATAAATAAACAAATTCAATAAAAATTTTGATTAAATAAGAAGTTTACTGAAGTTTACCAAGTAAACAATTGATAAATAAGGAAATATTCATCATACTCAAAGTTAGTCACAGATGTCAAAATTAATTTACTTGCTTTTTATATATTTGGAAGAAATTATCTCCTGATTATAATTAAAAAATTAATAATTTATCATTTCTTTTGTAAATCATGTACAGGCTTGTACTCAACTGCAATTGATAATTGATCCATATAAATGCGACAATGCAAGATTAGTCCAGGAATGTAATCAACTTCATTTGGATCTGATAGAAACAGAAGAAGCATATCAAAAACAAATCAAGGATTTGAAGAAACAAGTATACAAATTAGAGTGTGAATGTAATGATCTACAATTAGTTTCTTCTAGAAATTTGCAAAAAATTAAGGATCTTGAAACTGAATCAGCTAAAAAGTCGAAGAAGATATTAGATCTTCAAGGAAAATGCCTAAAACCAATCATAAGCAATATAGGAATCGGTAAAATGTTTTTGATAATTTTTTTATTTCTCAAAAATGTTTATAATTTATATTAAATAAATTTGTAGGTAACAAAAAGCGCCCTTGTTATCCACTTAGAAGACCAGTTATAGAAGCTGAACCATTACCAAAGACAGGAAGTAGTAACAGTACATTACCAAGTACCCATGCTGTAGAGCCAAAAATATTAGACTTATTGAGCATGGCAGATCATAGAATGAGCTGTTTAAGCCATGAGGTAACAAAACTTAAAGGAGAATTGTCGTTGCAAACCGATAATGTGTACACATTACAAAATCAGGTATGTGAAAAATATCCAATTTATTTAATAAATAAATTTCTTTTTTTACTCACAATTTAAATATATAATATTGTAGTTAACAACAAAAGAAAAAGAGATAATAAGACTGAAAAAACTGCTAGAAGGTGGTCGGCCATATAGTGCTGTTGCCAAAGATTGCCTTTGCAAAAAAGTTGATAAGATACATGTTGTATCTCATGATACTGATGAAAATAATGATTTAAAGATTCTTTTACAAAATAAACAAGAGCTGGAGCAACAGTTAAAAGGTAAAAACATAGTTTTAAATATGGTTTTTGTATAAAATACAATATGTACATACAAATTTTATATATAAAATATATTACATTTATCAGAAGCTGTAAATAAACAACATGAAGCTATGTCCCAAGCTATGAAACTTGCAGAACGAAATGAAGAATTAGAAAAAGAATTAAGAGATATAGATCATATTGCTTTATCAGTAGAAGCTGATTGTAATTCTGCAGTTAAGGAAAATAATAGAAGAGTATATAGACTTCAAGTATATATGATATATTATCTTTTACAATCAAGTATAAATAATATTATTTACTGTTGAATTACACAGTTTTTATTTTATATTTTTCATTTAACATTTTAGGAAAAGTTAGAAGATGTAATGGAGCAGGTTCATATATTAGAAAGTGAATTAGCAGTGAAGCGTAGAGAAGTACAAGAATTAACAGCAGATCTTGAAGCATGTAAGCTTGAAAAACGTAACATTCAAAGAACATTAGAATCCACTTTAGAAGAAAAGAAAAAAATTACAAACAAAATAAATCAATTAACAATAATAGGTATGTCTTCTTGATTTATGATACTAATTTTTATAACAACCATAAATGAAATTTTAATATTATAGAAAAAAGTTTAAATGATGAAATAGAAAGATTATCTAAAGAAAATGAATGTCAAAAACAAGATATTATACAATTACAATATACCAATAAAGTATTGAAAGAGCAATTAGATACAGAAGTTGCTTGCGGAGATGATTTAAAGCAACTAAGAGAAAAAGGAGAAAAAAATGATCAAAACAGGGGAAAAAAGAGTATGGGAAATAGAACAAGTAATGTACATTACAACGTGATTTAATATGATCAAATATGCAAATATTTACGTATTTAAAATTTTTGTTTTTATAGATGTAGAAGATAGTGAGTGTTCATCATTTTCGCAAGAAATAAATATTGATAGAGAAGAATATAAGAGTATATATAAAGAAGACGAAGTTAATAAGCTAGTTAATAATGATAGAACATCTGATAACATGCGAAAATTAATTATTGAAAAAGATCTACAAATAGACAATGTAAGTGTAAATAATATTATGTAATTTAGAATTACTTACGTATGTATTTAATGTATTTCAATTGTTAATCATAGAATACATGAATTTTAGCTACAACAAAGTATAAAACAATTAGAAAACGAGCGAGATTATTACAGAAATGAATGCAATTGCTTGAAGCAAAAAGATGAAAATTCTAACAAGGATAACGTAAGATTTGTTTCTTAGAGTTTTTTCATTTATAGATATATTAGATAAATATTTACATAAAAATTTACATAAAAATTACATAAAAATATTTACATAAAAATTATTTAAATAAAATCCTTTTATCTGTTTATACAAAAATAGGTTGAATTGTGGACACGGTCTTATGAATTAAGATGTCAACTTAATGAAAAAGAAAAAATAATTTTTGAATTACAAAAAGAAAAAAATGATTTGTATCATGAAAGAAAAGAATTAGAAGCTTATAAAAATCAACAAAAAAAAATTTCTATACCTTCTGGGTCTTGCAAAATATCTAAACCAATTAGCACTTGTGCACATCTATCTTCAACATTACCACATGATATACGTATAGAAACTACAAAAGTAAATAAATATAAATTAAGATAAACTTAGGTTTTCAAGGAAATATCATTTTATTAAAAATATTTAACAAGATAAAAATATACAGTGAACGTAAAAAGTATTCGTACAGAATTTGAACAAAAACTTCATAAAATTTTGTTTATTACAAAAAAGTGTTAACAAAAAATATAAATACGTATTCATAGAAATCTCGAAAACGAATGTTATTAAAAAATAATTATTTATTCATATTTGTTATGAAAATATTAACAAATTTTCAGAAATTAGCATAAAATGTACACGTAAGAAATATTCGTAATTTTATTACAACAAAAATTATACATTTTAATACATAAACGTAACAAAAAAGCAATTTATTCGCAATTTTAGTATCTAGTGAGATTTCGTTTAGATTGTATAATTGCTTTAAGCCTTTAAGCCACCTTTGTGGCATCAAATCTACTAAATTTCTGGTTTTAGTATTAGAAATTTTATTCCACTCTTCTAAGAATGTAACCATTTATTTTGAGTTTACGTTCGTTTCATGGATTATTTAAAAAAATTTTTTCAGTCTCTATATTTATCAATGATTCTTTGAATCGTGACTGTGGTCTATAAACAATTTTAAAAATTTCACTCTGTGTTTTACACTTATGTAAATTTATAATAATTTTCCTTTCTTCTTCAGAGGTTTCCTTGCTTTTTCGTCTCATTTTACGGTTATCATTGTTGACTATAAATTTAAAATACTATCTGTATTGATAATGTCTCCAGATATACTGATCCTAGATATATTGATATAAGATGTATTGTCTTGTATTTATCCTATGTGCAATGTCACGAATCAAGGACTGTACGAATACTTATTATGCGTATATTTTCTGCTAATTTTTGAAAATTTGTTAATATTTTCATAACAAATATAAGTAAATAATTATTTTTTAATAACATTCGTTTTAGAGATTTCTAAAAGTATTTATATATTTTTTATTAACATTTTTTAACAAACAAAGCTCTACAAAATTTTTGTTCAAATTTTTTTGACGATTGCTGTACGAATAGTCTTTACACTAACTGTACGTATTGTTGGCTTTTATAGAGTTATATAAAGTATAAATATCTCTTTTGTAGGTAATGTTGGATTCTTTGGAGCTTGAAAGGGATACAGCTAGAGCGGATGTTCAACGTTTGACAGAAGAGCGTGATGTACTATATGAAAGACTTAAGGTAATTTAATTATTAAGAGTGTATTTTTTATATGAAATCATGTGTTGTAGTAAAATATTGATTGATAGGGAACACAAAGAGGAACTGTAAATGGATATGAGGATCAATTGGAAGATCTTCAAGAAGAATTAAGAAGAACTAAACAGGAATTAACAGTTCAACGTACCCAATTTTTTCAGCTTCGGTATTTTATTTATTTGTAATATAGAAAGCTTATGAATATTTTTAAAGAAAGATAATTCATTTTCTTATATATATGTCACACATTTTTCATAATTAATTTTTATGTAGAGGAAATGATATTAAAAATTAATAAAATCAAGAATTGATTATCCAGGGCATTGCAGGATCAAACAGATCAAGCACTTGGAGATGTACAGGGTCAATTGACTCAATCAGAGACCGAATTAAATAAGGCGATAGATCGTAACAGAAATATGGAGCAACAGCATTTACAACTTGATGATCAAGTAAAGGAATTGAAACAAGAAATCAACAATCTCCATACGAATATGGCACATTTAGATCGAGAAAAAGATCAATTATTAGTAAGTATTATTTCTATAGAATTTAGAATTGATATAGTTTAATAGTATCCTTATAATATTACAATTATTTGGATTTTTACTATTAGATGGTGTTGGATGAAAAGACTGAAAAAATTGTGAATTTAGAAAGAGAATTGATACATAAAGAGCAACAAGCAAATAGCATGGAACAGCAAATGCGAGATCTACAACATAAAAATGAGTAAGTACATTCTTACATTATACTTTTTATATAAATTATATCATTGCATATTATGGCATTTTTGTTTTGGGATTAAGCTATAATCTTTATATAGTATTAAATTATATGCAATATTTAAAGTATACATTGATATTTAATAAATAAAATTATACAAAAGTTTAAAACTAAATAACATACTAGGCATTGCACTTATTACAATTTATATTATTTACATTGTTAAATATTGTTAGATACATTTTTTTTAACAATTTAAGCCTGAGATTTGTTTCACATTATAGTGAATATTTTGAGTTCTTAAGAATTCATCATTTTGATGTTACCGTTCAATAGTCTTGCTAATGTTACTGTTGGTGGTTGACATTCACCCAATGACACCACATTGCTACTTTCCATTTCATTCGCTTTTAAACTTTCTGTAACTCTTTTATAACCTGGACGGCATTCGCATATGGCTTTTGGTTGTGATTCTTCATTTACCCACAACTCGTTTTTCGGAATTCTGCGAGCAACCAACCATTCTCCCACTGTACACGGTCCTTGCGTATATAGTTTATAACATTTGTTATTTATTATCACCATGCTTGCTATATTTTCACAATTACTATCGTTATTATTTTCCATACACTTGTCAGTATTTTTTAGATCATTAATACAACCACACAGTCCGTTGTAACTTATCCCATCGATAGACGGTCGCACATTGTAGTCATATGATACGACTTGTCCATTTGGACATGGACCTTTAGTGCCGATTTTATAACACGTATTTTCTTCTGGAAAATATAATCGTCTTCTTCTGCAAGGTATAGGGACGCAAATTGAGGTATTTGTTATCATGTAACCATCTTCACAAGGACCACTTGTATAGAGTCTATAACATAATCCATCTTGATACAGTACATGATAGCTTTTACATTTACACTTCGCACGGATCATATTTTTCTCTTGATAGGTATCTGTTGTATCAATAATAAACTGATGACCCTTTGGACATGGTCCAATACTTCCTATGAAATAAGTATTATAAAATATCGATCTATCTGTAGTAGACATTATATTACTTAAAATCGATTAATTTACCTAATTGATAACACATCCCAGTTGATTCATGATAATGAGGTAATTTAGCGTGACAACCACATACTCCACCAGGTAAAAATAATTCACCTGGTTCTGTACATGGACCTTTTGTGTAATGTTCATAACATCCGCCGACACTTCCTGGCCAATAATATCTTCCTAGTTCACCTGTTATTGAACAGGAACATGTCACTATTCCGTCTTCTTCTATAGTTAAAAGTTCTCCTTGTGGACATGGACCTTTAGAAAATTTGGGGTAACATTTGTCATTTCTTGGCCAATAAACGTCCCCAATTTTTGAACAAGTTTCCGGTTCTCGACAGATACCCCAACGGCGTTTTGAATTGTGACTATAATTGCAGAAAAAAAATAAGAAAGAAAGAAAGAAGAAAAAGAAAAAAAGAAACTGTATATAAAAAAGAAATAGGAATCTTTCATAGAAATCCAATTTGATTATATTGACCTAGTTTTAGCAGGTGCTTCTGGAACTGGTGCAAAGTATTGTCCCTTCGGACAAGATGCTTTTGTGAATATCGGATAGCAAAGTGCGTCTCTGGGAGACTGTGCGGTTCCTGGTGGACATCTGCATTCTGCTATCGTTCCACCACCTCCTGCGGCTGGACCCAATTCCATAGTTTCTGGACAAGGTGCGCCGATCTAGTGGAAAATTTCTTTTAATTTTCTTTTACTGTCTACGAGAGAAGCGAGCGATATTTACTTGAAATATTTTGTAACATTTCCCATCCGGTGGCCAGAATAGTAATTGCCATCCACGTGGTTGAAGGGCACAAGGGTTGCTTAGTGGATCTGCCCAAGGTGGTGGCATTATTACAGCTTTAACATTAGCTATTGTGAAATACCAAAGAATATTCCACAGGAGGTATTTCATCATGCTGAAAAGATATCATGATCGTAACTTGATTATTAGAACTTGATGATCAATATAGGTGATAGGAATTTTTTACATGTTATCGTGATATAAGCTGAAAAGGAAAAGAATAAGCAGAAATAAAAAAGGGAAAAAATGATCATATTTTCACTGCTTCGTTATGACGACATTGTCCTCGTAAGCAGAGCACGATAACGATATACCTACGGAATGAGAATAACATTTTATCCGTTCGTTTAAAAGTTTTTTATGTCACGAACAAACATGTACGGACTCTTTTCAAAATATGTACTCAAAAATATCTTTCATTCGAGCTACAATGCATGCCATTTTCATTCATAAATGTTTAATTTATTATTGAAGTACGTTTTCACATGCACGATCTGCATTATACTCAACGTAAAGTAATGTCTTTCTTCTTGTTTAATTTTTTTTTTAGTTGTATCAATATAACAAATTCGAAGAATAAAAGAGCAATAAAAATGAAGATTCTTTAAAATTCGCATATTTAGATGACTTTATAAATCATGTTACATAATGATCTAATTATCGGTTACCGTTCAAGTTTGTTGATTCAAAAACTTTAATCTTTCACATTCATGACATTTTGAATCGTAAAATGTTACGATAGAACTACTTGTTAAGTGAACAAAAAAGAAACGTTAGTGTTTTTTAATTATTGCTTTCGACGTATTTCGCTTTCTTTAATACAAAATTGACTTTATTTCTTGACTCGAATATACTAACATAAGAAAAAAAGAGGAATAAAAAAAAAAAAGAAAAACATGAAATAACAATTGACAGAATTCCCATGGAAACTGTACTTCGAACATGTCAGCAAAAATATATGAAATTATTTAGTCGGACGCACGGAACATCGTGCGAATTGAAAAATGTCTAACGAACATAATTGATGATGAAGCTTCAAGTCTTGATATCGATACGGCTTTTATAACTATGGATCCTTACTACACCATGTGTCCTTTTTGCTGTTTACCTCTTGAAGATAACGTTCACTATAGGTACGAAGTTATTAAAAAAAAAAAACAGAAGGAAGAAATGAATTTTACTATATTAGAAACTTAATTCTATCTTCGGTCTGGATTATTTAAAAAATGTCTTCTGGATTAATCGAGTTTCTCTTCCGCTTTTTTATCAGAATTTTTTTTTTCCTTTAATACGCAATTATATAAAGGAACATTTTACAAAACAAATTCTCGGTGAACAAGATTATTAATGTATGTTGTACAAAGCTGATTATAAAAATAATGAAAATAATTAACTTCTAAAAGGAAAATAAACGAGAATATAAACTTACGTTCGAACAATCACAACGAAAAATCGATCTAAATAATACGTTATGCATCACAATATAGAGACGCATGAGATTTATCGATTTCTTTGTGATCTATTGATTATCATTCTGAATTAATAATGAAATTAACGAATTTAGAGAGAAGGCGCGGTACTTGCTGGCCCGAAGACCGCGTCGAGACTGAAACTGGATCCGTTGGTGCGTGTACTTCTGTGCCTGTACACGGTTACCTAACTTGTTCGCTTTGGAAACAGTATCTATTAGTGAGAGGGTAGATATTTTTCTTTTATACCGTCGTCATCTTGTACGACGCATTTCTAAACTGGAAAAATCTTCGACGGAACGAACACTGAATCAGGATCTGCATTCTCTAGAAGCTTCATTGTTAATCCCATTGCACTCCCAAGATTTTAACATGCTAACTGAATGAAGTCATTATCATATTTTTTTATGCTAGATTATATTCTTAATGTGATTTATTATTGCAATTTTGTATATATCAGCCAAGAAATTTAACGTAAACATCTCAATATGTTGACTATTAATTACATAAAAAAGATGAATGAACGATGAAAGTAAAAAAAAATAATTCATTTACGAGATTGTGAGCATGAATTCTTTATTTTTATTGCCTAGTTGAAACTGGCATTTGAATTAAATAACAAAAATAAATTAAACTTGAAACGTTAAGGGCAAATTCTCAAAAATAGATCTTTGTCCTTTCTTTCGACTAGAAATGTGGATCTTACATTATGAATACAATTTCGAAAAATTACCACATAGATATTCCCTGAAATCATTCTTACGATTTGTAAAGGAAACGTATTTAAGCTTTCGATTTGAAATGGCCTTGACGTAACTTCAAAGATATTCGATCATTCTTTTTATGGTTTCATTCTACATGAGGCAACATTAATGGGAATTTGGAAACACTTTCACGATCCAATAGACGGAGGAAGTTAATTCGAGCTCATGGGATTCTTTCTCCCTCTCCCCCTCCCGCTCCCTCTCTTTTTTCTCTTTTTCTATTTGTTTCTTTCTTTATTTCTCATTCTAAGCGAGAAGATTAAAACGGTTCTTTCTTATGCAGCTTCTTTACAGAGGCCCTTCTCCGTCAAGTGGATTTTGAAGGAGCGTTCAATGCCCTTTGCTTATAACGGTACGTTGATGGAAAAAAAGAAGCGAAGGGTCTCTTGCTTGATGGTTTTGACATCAAAGAAGATTGTACGTGGAACTCAAACATTTCTGATTATATCTGGGAATAAGAAAGAGAAAAATGAGCATGGTGTACTGAGCAAGTTCGGGCCGATGCACTCTCTGTCCGAGATCATTTATGACGACAGTCGATACCGGATAACTGACTGACTGGCTGGTTAGCTAGCTAACTGACTTGCTTAGTGTGAAAGGCTTCTTTCAACCTGTCTTCGTTTTCAAAGAATACTCTTGCGATCGAATGAGAATGAAAGTACGTTCCCCTCAAGGACAGAAACTAACGGGACGAAGCGGTCTTCTCTAATGACTTTCATTCTTTATACGAGTCAAGTTGATTAATTATAACTTCCTCCGTCCTTGCGGTATTTCATCTCTCGCTTGGACAAAATCTTCCGTGAATTTTAGCTGAACCTTGAATCAATTCTTCTAAAAAGAAACCTAAAAGGCATGAGCTAAAGCGGTCTTGGTAGATCTTTCACGAGACTTCTTAAAATTCAAGATGCGGCCCGTCTCGTGTAAACTGTGAACGTGAACTTGAAGGGGGATCTCTACCGATTTTTCTTCTTTTTCTTTCCTTTTCTTTTCTTTATTTTTTTTCTTTCCTTTTTTCCTTCTTATATCCGTTCTTATATCGAACATATCGAAATTTGAAGAAGTATTCTTTTGCTCCGAAACAAATTAAGATAATGAAGAAGATATGAAAAATAATCCAGATAAATCACAATTGTATTAAAGTGTGAAAATAGAAATGAGAAATTGTGTTATAATTTAATGAAGATTTTATTGTTCTGATTCAATATGAAAAAAGACGAAAAAAAGTTCATGTGGTATAAACTTCGATGGTGTTATCGAAATAATTTTGAATCATATTTGCGACAGATCGAGTAATTACTGGATATCAAAAAAGTATTTGTAGAACATGTATGATACTTTCCATTTTCCAGTATATGGTACTTACACATTTTATTTATTTTTTTTTTATTTTTTATTCTTTTATTTTGTTATTTTTGTTTAATTTTATTGTCATATCATTTAAACTTTCCTTTTAGATAGAACTATTTGTTATCTTTATTTTTAATTTCTTACTTTTCTCTTACAATAAAAAAAAAAAATAAATCTTTATCACGTCTACCTGTGTCAGATTTAGTCGATACCAGAAATAGAATCATTGTAAAAGTGCAAAACATTTCGACTCGTTTCAAAGAAACGTTTTCACTTTCGCGTGGACAAGATGTGTACGGTTTTAGATAGAATGGACCGAGCAAGGAAGCTGTCGGTGTAACAGTAAGAACGACGAATCAAGAGAAAGTCCTTCGCTCTCGATGAAATTTCTCGCCTCTTTATCTTTTTTAAATCTTAGTTGCAATCGTTATGATTATGCAAGATGTAGACACATAATAGAATGAGAACTTGATCGAACGTCTTGGCACGTTTTTTCTTTCTCTTCTTTAAAAATATTCAACTTATATAGAAATTATTTATAATATCGTTAAGTGAGTCGATTAAGTCGATTAAGTCGCTTTTCATTCATTAGAATTGATGGAACTGTCCTTGTCCTCTTTCCAGAACGCAATTGTAGTTACGAAAGAAAATTACGTGATTATCATACGCTTAGAGGCACGTATTAAAAAAATGTCATCGTTGTTAGACTTTCCTATTGCATTGATTATATCAAATAAAAAATTTGTTTTCGGTATTTTTTTTACAGAATATGTATCGATCAGAGCGCAGAATATGAACGTCAATTCAGATCTCTGCAGCTCGAAGTAAAAAATGTTCAAAGACAATTGGAAACTTCCAATACCGATCGTGAAAATGCGATTCAAGAAAATCGTCGCTTGCAGGACGATCTCGCTGCTGTTATGTGCGAAGTTCGAAATCTTCAGCATGAATTAGAGTCTTGCCGTGCGGAATCTTACGACTTGAAGAGACAGTTACAGACTTATGTCAGTGAGGTACGACGAGCCGAAGAGATGCTCAATAGAAAGGTGAAGTTTAAAATAGATTCTTTTGTTTCTTTCAAAATATTCAAGATAAATTACTTTTTACAATCATTCTTCGATCGATCTACCTTTATAGGAGAATGAAAGAACCGAAATGTTGAATCACTTTAGAAGTTTAAGTTTGGAAGCCACGGTATTGGAAAATAACAATCATAGTTTGGAATCTGAAGCAGCAGAGGCAAGGGGAGCTCTTCAAACAGCAAGAGATCGTTTGATAGATTTAGAACGACAGTTAGTGGATAAGGATTGTTTAATAAGGGGCTACGAAACACAGGTATACGCGTTTTACATAATGCATTGGTCTGAAGACATATTCTAGGATTGCTCCCTTATGTGAGAATGAAATTTCTTTCTTATTTAGATAAGTGAATTAACGCAAAATGTCGCCAGCATGGAAACTCAGTTACGCCAGCAAACGGAGCAGAGACAAAGAGCAGAAGCTGATTTAAGTGCAGTAAGGGACTTGTGTATCAAAATGGATCAACAAAAGGATTCACTTATGCAACAACTTGAAGATAAAGATGTAACGAAAACCCAGGTGAAAATATTTCTTTCGTAATAACATTGATATAACGAAATTAATTTTTTATATGCTTGCATTAACAATTTTTTAATATTGTGTGCTTGTGTAGTATGAAACGCAATTGGTAAGATTAAGAACTGAACAGAATGTTATTCAAGATCAAATAGATAGAGACCGTGCAACGATCGAGCGTTTAGAAACTCTACTGGATCAAGCAAGACAAGAATCTATCAAAGTTCAAACGACTAATCAAGAATTACAAAATGAAATGTCGAGACTTAAACAGAAAATATCTGAGCTTCAAACGACATTGTAAGAATCGTTCGCTTTATAGATCAAGATATTCAATTACTTTTTAATGTAATTAAGTACATATTTATTCACAATATAGATCTGCTGAGTCACTTGAACTTAGACAGTATCAAAATCAAGCTGCAGAGTACAGCAAACAAATTAGCGAGCTTCGCAGACAAGTTACGAATGAGAGATTTGATCGAGCTAGAAAAGAAGAAGAAAATCGCAGGTATTTAATTTATTATTTTATATTATAATAAAAAACGAAGTTTTCTCTATTTGGAATGAAATTCTTAATTCTGACTGATTTGGACGTATATATGCGTCCAATTATCAATATGGTCTATGGATGTATATATGCGCCCGACAAAGGCTTTGTTTATTTACTATTATTTCATGTGTATGTGATATGCCCCATATAGAGGGAAATATGCTCTATGGAATAATAGATTGGTACGATTAAATCACGATTATTATAGATAACGTGATAAGGAACTTTGATGTTTTTTTTTTTTTTTATCTATCTATATTTTTCTTTTTCTTTTTTTTATCATGTGTCGGTCACATGAAGCGCTTCAGCTTAGAACTGCTCGCAGTCAAAGGGTTAATAATTATAAATTATTATGATTAATTATAGAATTTAATGCATGAGATAGGATGTAATTTTAATTGACAAATTAATTCAAAATCTATTCGGAAAAATTGATATGTGGAAAAAAGTAATACTTTTTGAGATAAATAATGTTAAGAAAAATATCTAATTTTATGTGTACTTATTTTTTTTCTTTTTTTTACAGATCATTAAATTCTACGCCAGATAGTTTTAATGTCGATTTAAACGTGGTTATATAAAAAATAAAATTTAATATATATTTATTGATAGATATTTGAATCAAGAAAAATTCAAGGAAAAGAGTGATATATTGTGTAAGACATGTGCATTAGAAGCAGTACCACCGGGAATTTCGAATAAAGAATATATAAAATCGGGTATTTGTAATTACTCAGAGAATATTAATACATTGGTGTTTAACAGCTGGGTATGAAAATTAGGTATTGATATATGAAACTCAAATTTTATTGCCATCTAGATCATGGGAATGAATTCACAACTATTAAGATTCAAGTAGGTTTCTCTGAGAAAATTTTGGCTAATGATACGGTAAACATATAAAGAGCAAATACAGCGTAATTTTTTGAACGTGCATAATAAAATCATATGATTCTTATTTAAAGCAGGAACCAGTTGCTGCGTCTACATTTAATACGTACATGAAAAAGAGTTATTCTATTTCTTGTTGTATGAATACTCCCCCACAAGATGTGTGCAGTCAAACAGTAATTACAGAATTATTAGATCAAAAAAGTATGCCATCTCAATTATCAAAGCACTCTCTTTCTGAGCTTTATGATAATGATCATAATAGTTATATTACATCGTGTCAATATGCCAGCAATCAATACATGGAAATTCATCATGATCAATCAACAATACCTGATACTTTTAAATGTCAATGTTTAAACGAATTAGAAATGCCAGAAAAGATTTTGTCTTGTACAGTAGCAAATGATTCAAATTGTAATATGGAAAAATCTGCAAATTCTACAATTAATATGTATGATAAGGCCAATAAGGATACTATTAACGATATTAACGACAAAATTCAAAATATATATGTTAGAAATATAACAACACGATTAGGTGATAGTAATAATGGTAATAGCATGCTGAATCAGGCAAAAAATCGTCCTTCTACTATAGATGCGTATTGTAAGGAACATTCAAAATTTCATTTTTGTACTGATTCAAAAATAATATCTGGTATAGAAAACGTCGTCTCAAATAAAGAAATAAAACAAATACATTTATACAAACAAAATGAACATAAACATGTATGGAAAAATAGCAATTACACATATTTGAGTGATACTATCATGAAATCAGTTGAAAAAAATGCGGACAATATATCATGTCAGGAAGAAAAAAATATAGAGTTTGATAATTATACGTCTGCTAATATAGAGACAAGTAATGACTTACAGAATAATACAAAGTCTTCTTCAAGTGATACTATAATAATAGCTTTTTCCAAACCAAAATTTAAACAAATTTTATCGGAAATCAAGGAACATACAAGAAGTTTAGAAAAACAAATAAGAAGTATAAATAATATAATAGAAAATATAACAGTTTTATCGGAACAAAAAGCTCATTTATCCTCAAAAAAAGAAAACTTCACAATATTTTATGAAAAAAGATATACATATTCAAATGAATCACAAACAGATGAATTCGTCGATATAAATAAAAGACAAATAGAGAAGAATATGGAAGGATCTAATTTGTGTAAATATATTAAAAAATGTGCACTTTTTACATCATCTTTAACAGAAAAATTTTCTATCTATCAAGAACCAATTGCTACATCTACAAAAGAAAAATTATTAGAAAATGATAATACTGTCGATCATTGCATGCGACAGCAATATTCAATGTTTGAACAAAATTCATCGTATGAAGAAGAAAAAAAAGAGTTTCCCACTACAGAAATAATAGCAGATATAGTAAATCACAAACCTGACAAAATTAATACAAAAAGTGCACCTTATATGAAGCACAAAATAGAGCAAGTACCCCTTTATCATTCACATGACAAAAATATGTCGAAGTTTAAAACAAATCAAATGAAATTATCTGTCGAATCGAAAACCAGAAAAAATTATTGTGATCAGATGGATTGTAATACTGCCATTCCATATCATTCCACAATGAAAACTACAGTATCTAATCATGATACAATTTATGGCTTATATTTAGAAACAGCTTATACACAATCATCCAATTTTCAAATAGTTGCTGCTACGTCGGCATCGTCTTTGAAATTAAATTCGAATACCATGGAAAGCAATTATCTCACTAAATCTGAAAAATCTACATCTTCAAGAAACCTTACCGAAAAAAGTAATAATAAAGTTTCTCCTGATACATTAGATATTTCTACGATGGTAGACGATGATCTAAACCCATCTATTTCTATTCAATGTATAACAATTAATTTGTCAAACTGCCATGCTGATCCACATACTACTAAAAGATACAAGTGTACGAAATATTTACGAGAAAGTGACAAAAAGAAAAAAAAAAAAAAAAGAAAAAATTTAAATTAAAAAAAAATTAAGATTTGTTTGCATCAAGTATAATAAATACATAAACACCTTTTACTTTATAAAGATATGGAGTAAAGCTATATACTTTTTATTATAACTAATCGATCAGCAATATAGAAAGTATAGTTATTATAAAATAAAATTAAGTAACTTGTCTCACACAACTCCTATCGCGTGAATTTATAAGTTAGGTATCTATTAAGCGTTATATAGATTCACAGATAATTCATTCCCAGAATAATAGAATAAAATAGTGTAATCTTCAAACAAACTAAACAAAATAATACAGACTTTAACATTCCACTTCAAAATAATGATAAAAAAACCGTCCAATCTCACTATACTTTTAATCACAAATTCTAATGATGTTATAAAGTAACAAAATATATCTCCATGATGCAAACGATAATACTCAATAAAGAAAAATGATTCATAGTGTTCATAGATTATAAGAACTATCTTTAACATAATTATTATTGTAAACTGAACTGATATTAAAATAAATGCCATTATGTTCAACGATAACAGTCATTAGCTTAAATGCGTTAGCTTTTTTTATACGCTTGAAAAATATATCATCGATTGTTATTAAATTTATCCATATTATTTATATATACTGACAAAAAACTAACAATAAATTAAATGCTTCTTATTTATTCTTTCCACAGAGTCATTTTCCATCGACATTATATACATTTCGCACATGGGAAAAGTAGGTAATTTACCTAGATCTTTGAAATTTAAAAAATTAACACAAAGCACATGAAAAATATACGATATAATTATTGTATTTAAATTTTTTTTTAATAGTATATATTGCCTAACTGGCAATGTGGCAATATGATCATCAGGATATTAATTATCACTCGACTATCAATATCTTTCGCTCGGTAGTACTAATACGCTATTAACACATCCGCACAATATAATGGCAGAATGAATATCAAAGACATTCATTCATTTCCCTTTATATTTTTTCATCGTACTTATTTATTACATGAACTTTTCGTTCTTTTACACAGTTGTTTATTTATGATCTTCAATGATCGTACCAAATGATGAATGTGTAAACTAGATAATTACAAATAATAAAAATAAAAAGCCTCTCATTAAGATTTTCATCCTCCTAAACGGTCAGCTATTAAACTTGTTTTTTTATGTATATATTTATGTATAAAATACATAATAGAGGCTCACATAGGGTCCATTATCATAGTTTATATTTTTAATCATTCTTAATCAGCTGTTTTATAATACCGATCCAGCATTTGTAACTATTGCTGAACCTGATGAGTAATTACAAAAATCCATCTTTTGCAACTTCTACGTTTTGTCATAATCTATTATAATACAATATTTTTACTTCGCTCTTTTAAACGCTTAACCTTACAACTTTAAGAAATTTACACAGACGCTGTAACATCATGAATGAAATACAAGTATTATGTACAGTTATGTATATTATATATGTATAGTTGAATATGATTAGCTTAATTTATATGCAATGTTACTGGTGTCTCAGGATACTCGAGAAACAATATATAAATGCAATCTATGTGAAGTTGTAAGATGTTCAATAATATAAAACTTTTAAAATATTTGAAAACGACACCTTTTACATAAATTATATTTAATGCACCAAAGAACCAAGCAAGAATAAATTTTTTACCATCATTCAATTCGTGAGACCAATGGAAGTTATCTTTTATGGCATTATTTTTACATTCTATATAATATAAAATTTTTAGAAATACAATATTTTATGTGAAAATCAATTATGTAAAATTCTCTAAAAAAACTTTGTCATTATGCGTTTTAATTAAATAAACAACTATTACACCCATTAAAGTTTAATAAATTTTGTATATTCTAGTCAAAACGAATCAAAGATATGATAGACATTTATATACATTGTGCATGGAACTTTAATATCTTATAATTACTCTGCTAAAGCTGTCAGATTAAAAAGTAAAAATACATTCGTATTGCGCTAAAAAAAAGGAACTGACAAGATTATAATGAGTAGCACAATATTTTTAGGCCCTATGTTGTATATATAAAGTATACGATTCTTCTATAAATCTACATAGAAAACTTAATCGATTAATCATATTGTTGCACAATTTGTATAAATAATTTAATGAAGAATTACATCGTTACAAAAATTTGCTAATGACAAAGTTGCAAAAAAAGTATTGAATTTCTGGAGTTTGTTACGATCTGTAAAATAAATATTTAAAAAAATGTCAGATGTATCAGAAGATCTGAACATGCAGAATCCCGAAGATAAAGTTGATCTAAACTAGACATTCAAATTCTGCAATGATATGATATATTCTATTGTAACAAATTCACTAATATGCGTGTACGTATGCTGTGATTCCTTACTAACTTTTGACTATAAGATTACTCAAAAATAAAACAAAGAGAGACAACAATGTAGCCATTTAACTGCAAGACCTGTGCAATTATAAGCAAATAATAGATTTCTAAGAGAAACATATTTGATAAAAAGATTTTTTACGTTCTAGGTTCTTGGTGGCTTATGAAAAAACATACAATAATATTAATTAATAATAGTATAATATTGATTACAATTAACTATAACGTCCATAAAGTATTTTCTTCGCCGTTTTTGTACACGTTTACTAAAAACATTTATCGCTTCTTGTTGAGAAAATAAATATTAATATTAAATCTGAAATATTATTTCGTTCATTATCACTGTTCTGCATCACTTCAACTACTGTCTTGGTTTCATGTCACTAGTTACAGTTCGTATTATGGTCTAAATT